ATTAGTTTCAGTTCTGTCGTTCAAAGACACTCTGACTTGTGAGATTTTCCATCAGCAAACCTGGCAGGAGTGAGATTTCGCTGCTTGCCCTCAAAGCGCTGTCTGGGGTTCCATAGAAATAAAGCTCCCTCTGCTGGCAGCTGATTAGCATTTACCAGATCGCCAGGAACTTGAAGAAGCGCTTTGGAGCTGCTCCTGGGGGCAGGCTCTCTCTCCTCCCCCACAAGCTGTCTGACCTTGCTCAAATTACTTTACCTCTATGAGTCTCCGCTTATGTATCTTTAGAATATTAACTTTAAAAGCGATATTTTAGAGTAATAAAATCCAAGATGTGTAAATTTTGTTGTAAAAAAGAGAGGGAAAAAAAAAAAAAAGAAAAAGAGCTCTAACGGATATAACAGCAAGTGTGTTTGGGGGTGTTAAATAGCTGACTTTATCAATGTTTTTGGAACATTGAACACAGCTGTTTGCAGTCTCCCTGTTTGAATGTCCACCTTGTGTTCTTTGATACTGTGATTTGAGGAACTATTTTCAAGAAGATAGTGTGTAATCTACTAGCAGGTGATTTCTTACTGTTATGTTTTTTTGTTTTGTTTTGTTTTGTTTTGTTTTGTAGTTCTGTATTGCGTGTACCCTTACGCCGCTTTGGTTTGTTTTGTGTTTTTCTCTTTTTCCTCTTAAATAAAAAAAAAAAAAAAGCGATATTTTAAGACTTTGACTTGTAAATGGTCACACAAAAGATAATAAAAGTCATAATATTATAGACAGCTGAATTAGATATAAGCTAATATAAAGCTAGAGGGAGACTGGGCTCTCAAAGAAGTCAGCAGGATGCACAAAAACATCAGAATTGCGGCTTAAGGCACATTTGAAGAAGGCCATGGCCAGGCCTATGTGCCTCCTTAAGGCATAAGCGCTAACTTGGAATTATAATTAGCACCACCTGGTTCAGGAAGTAAACTGACTGTTGTTTGACTCTTTATCCTGTGACTTTGCTGTGTAAATTATCCTTGATAAAGAGCCTTGGTGGCAACCAACTTCCGGGACCCCTCTTGCCTCTTAGAAGCTATTCTTACTCCCCAAAAAACCTTTCCTGCTCTTACTCATTTGTCCTTGTAATTCTTTCTTTGATTTCAGGGGCCATGAACTTGGCATATCTGACATCTATCTAGTAAGTTGGGATTTATGTTTTCCCCTGTATCAATAAGACACCTTGAGGAACGAAAGCTATTCTGTTTATCAAGTTTGTCAAGGTTATAAAAGTTAACAAGAAATGTATGAAATTCAGTGAAGACAAATTTAAAACACTCCTGAAGACAAATGGAAATATTTCTCAGTCCTGGAGACCATAATCTGATACCATAAAGATTTGAGGAGAGCTAACTCTATTGAGTGCCAATATATAATAAATCCTCTATAGTTAAAACAATATACAAATAGATGGACAGACTTGGGTTGAAAGTTCAGAAATAGAAACAAAAGAGAAATACACGGTATGAATGAGATGCCACCTCAAGTCACTGAGGAAAATAACATTAATGAGTGGTGTCAGGCCCAGTGGATAGCCATTTGGAAAAGATAACTGGAATCCTTAACATATATCACATTCCAGGAAAAACTCAGAAAGAAAAAAATGACTCATACAAGTAATAGACAAAAACTTATCTATAACATTACTGTGGGGAAAACATTTTAAATTATACTAATCATATAGATACAAAAGCAAAAAGCAATACTTTTGACATTAATAAAAAGCTTTGTGGATAATATGCCATAAGCAAAGTCTAAAAACAAATGACAAGTAATAGAAATATAATTGCAACATGTTACAGGTAAAGAGCTAACCTCTTTAATTCATAAAACACTCAAAAATGGAGAAAGCATAGACTCATGTATACCAGAAACAAAGAACACATCAGTGTTTCTTAAACATAATAAATTTATTTATAGCAAGATAAATGCAAATTAAATGTGTAAGAGAAAGTTAATTTACCTAAACATTTGAAAAGATTCATGATAAATCATTTGGGAAAAAATCAAGCTACTGTTTCTCACTTTCAGATTGGTATGCATTCAGAAGCTTGAAAATGCAATTTTTTTTCTGGGACAAATTGAGGGAAATTGGAATTTGGCTGGATATTAGATGGTATGATTCTTGTATGAAAATTACATTTCTTGGTTGTGATTTTGAAGTGGTTATATGAGCAAGTGTAAGCCTTCAGAAATACATGCTATAGTAATTATCCTCGACATTCTTGAGGACTTTATGGCAGAGGAGACTTCTGGCCTATACTGCATCTGGATCCTGCAAACAAGAAGTCCTGTAAGACCACGGCGGAGTAGAAATGAGCCGTGTTGTAGGGTGCTCAGGCAGAGTGGGCCTATGCAGCAGAGACTGCGGGACTTTACAGTGCAAACACTTGGCCCTCATTTTCTGTTCCAGGAACAGTGTGGAGTTGGGAGGGGATCAAACACAACATTTATAATTAATCTTGCTCATGGAAAGGACTTCCCACATTTCTGCATCAATTCAGGTTCAGCACATTACTTGGTCTTTTTGAGTTTGGTCTGCTAGATAAAATGCAGGGTGTCCAGTCAAATTTAGTTTCAGATTTACAAAGGAATATGTTTTCAGTGTAAGTATATCCATACAACATTTAGGACATACCAATGAAGTAATTTATTGCTTTCTATATTTTACTTGCAGTATCTGGCTCCCCTATTTGGATTCTCCTCTTCTCCCTTTTTCCTGGCATTGGGGTAGCTTAAATCACAGCAGGGAAGCTACGTTGGAAAGTAGTCTCTTCTCTCATCATTTTGTCATAATCAATTGCAGTCTGTTCTCAGCAGAGTCAGAGCTCAGGGTTGGGGATCCTCCTCCAACTGTCTTTAACCCACCTCAGATCTCACTGTTACTGCTATTACCCTAAAGACTCTACAGCATCCTTTGTCTCGCTCCTGATTTAGCTGGTCAATCCCACGGCTTCTGCTTTGGGGGCTCTTATGCCTTAGTGCTCAGTTATTTCTACTTATGGCCATGGGAACTTTTTAGTTCTCCTCAGTATCCCACTAAGCTGGGGGAAACTCGTGGGTTCCCTTTATCACTTCACCCTCTTTGGAAGTCTGGTATGAGTATATTAAAGTTTTGTGCCAGCACAGTGGCACGTGGCTATGATCCCAACTACTTGAGAGGCTAAAACAGGAGGACCCCAAACTCAAGGTCAGCTTGGGTAATTTAGCAAGAAGGGGGTGTCTCAAAATTAAGAAATAATAAGGACTGGAGATACAGCTCAGCATTCCTTGCCTTCAGTCTTTAGTACTACAAAAACATACAAAATAAAAACAAAAACAAGAAAACACAAAAAACTCTTTGTATTCTGGCCCATTATTTCTAAATGCTTTTTATCTTTAAAAAGTTCCCTTTTATCTTGTTTCAGTTTAAGTAATTTTTTGTTGTTCTATGTCTCTGTGCATAAATATTCTTTTTATAGTATTCTAATCTGCTGTGAAATATATGCATTATTTTATTACTGTAGTTTTCAGTTTTAGAATTTCCGTTTTTCTCTAGTTTTCTGGCAAAAGGTTTCACTTTAATCTAGTTTCTTCATCTTTTCTCTATTTTGCATGAGCTTACTAATCAGAGTTATATTCCAGAAACTCTGCTAACTTAATCCTTGCAACTTTGTTTCTATCATCTGTTTTTTCCTTTGCTGCTTTTTATCATTTGGTCTCTCTTTCCCTTTCAGAATGCCCGGTAAGTTTTTACCTTGAATGCTGGCCTGAAACATGGAAAATTGTAGAAGCTCAAGGTATCATCACACCTGTGACTTATTTTTAAAATGCTTCAAAAATTAATAATAAAACAAATGTAGAGACACATTAACGGGTGTATCTAGGTGGATGGCATTTGGGTTTGAAATTCTTTTTTTTTTTTTTTTTGTCTTTTTCCTTTTTACTGGTACCGAGGATCGAACTCACGACTGCCTGCTTGCAAGGCAGGCGCTTATGCCGCTGAGCTAAATCCCCAGCCCCGGGGTTTGAAATTCTTAAAAACAAAAACTTGGGAGAACATTTTTGGTACCTGCATCTGAGTTATTTTTTTCTGTCTTTAAGTTAACTTGGTGAGCATTTGTGGAGCACTTACCAGGTATTACCTCCTTGTTCAGGTGCTGGGAAGTGCTGATGAACCAGGCAATCAGATCATTCTCTTTTAGTGTCCTCATTCATGAAACAGAGATGGAATAAAAACACCCGCCTTACAGCATGGCGACTAGAGAGAGCAGGTACCCAACCAGCAATGGTCAGTGTAACTCAGCAGTTCTGTCCACTGCTGATCTCATTTTATAAATTGATGGTTTTGGCTTTTCAACTTGAAACAAAAATATGAAATCTTCCATTTTATGTATTGTTACTGCTCATCTTATTTTTGCTAATATGACATTTGAAATCTTGTGGAAAAGATACAAAATCAAAGCAAATATTAAATTAAATTAAAATGGCTAGGGATATATTTTAAAAAATAAGATCTAAAGGCTACATTCGTTTTTACTGTTAATTATGTCCTGGTCTAAGATTGGTAATAAAGTAAAAGCAAGTAAAGAAAGCTTTCTAAATTTACTGTTAAAATACTAGATCTTAAGCTAATTAAAAATTTTACAATACAGGAAATACTGAGTACTTTCCTTTCAAATCTTGCTTCTTATAGACACCATGTAATTAAGTTACCCACCACTAAGAGCGCTCGTCCTCTTGTTCTGCTCCGTCCACTAAGCTGTGAGACACTAATGGCTTGGTCTGATAAATGCAGGGTTCATTTTAAGTCCATACCATACAACTTACAATTAAATTCTAACGTGTCCCACTTGGTGTATACTGAGATCACAGTTTGTAATTTACTATGCAAAGAATAGTTTTAAAGCAGTAGAATTTTTTTAAAAAGCCCCAAAGTTTATTCATCTAAGTATTATCTGCAAAATCTGACCCAATAATGTAAAGTCATGTGATATTTTTGACATTAAGTTTATTTAAAAAAATAACAAAATATTTTTTATTTCTTATTTTCCTTGTATACTTTTGAGAAGACTAACACAAATATACATTAGCATTAAAATCAATCATCTCACATACCTTAACAATTATACATTGCATGTCTATACAATCTTTATGACTACTACTAATTTACTACTACTATAGCAAATCTGTGACTATGATAATGCAAATTTTAAATTACAACAAAGTAAATTTTATACATTCAGAGTAGGATTGAAATAAATAACTACAGAAATAATTCAACATTCTATGGCGCACATACTGTGTGCCAGATCTTAGGAACACAAAAATAAATAAAAAATGGTCCCTGCAATTAAGAAGTTCACAGTCTAAAGGAGGGAGTAAAAAAAAATAAAACAATTTAACATAGTGTAACAGCTTTGTGAATGGTATGAACAAAGAAATACAGAAATCTCAAGAATCACTTAATTCTTAAGTGCAGTTAAGAGCTCGTCAAAGTGATGCATTTTGGAGAGAAAATTTTCAAGTAAAGAATTAATGGTGAATGAGAGGAAGAATATTCCAAGTGTATCACACAGCCTGCGCACAGGCAGTGAAGCGAGGGATTTAATGTTCAGGGAACTGCAGACAGTTTGGTACAGCTGAAGCAAAAGTTATAGGGTAGGACAGCTGTGAGAGAAAAAGCCAGCGAGGTAGGCTAGATCACATCATTAAAGGCCCTATAGGCTCTGCTAGGGGAGTTTGAACTCTACCTGCACGTAGGTTTAAGTTTAAGTGAAGGGTGAAACGCTAATTTGGGAGTTTTAGAAAGATGATCCTGGAGACAGTAAGAAAAAGGAATCAGAGGCAGATCACCAGTTTACATGTTTCTATAGTAACCCCAACTTCAAAAGAGAATGAGAATTAGGTAACGAAGAAAGACACATAGAAAAGCATTGGATACTTAGGTATTTGGATGATAAAGTAAGAACTGATTGATGACTGGACATGGAAAATGATGCAGAACAGTAAAAATGGTCGCTATCAGGAAACACCAGTTCACTGAGGTACAGGCTGGAGGGAGATGGATTCGTTTTATGAGATGTGACATCACCAGCACCAACAACAGCAGTGATACTGGAAGGGGAGACAGCCTCGCCTCCGATGTCCAGGATATAAAGAGATCAAAGGACAGCCGTCTGAGCTGCAGTGAACGCCGACACATAATGAACAGACGAAGGCAGGGAGTCCTTGAAGGAAACCAAGAGCACTGTTAGGGGGCAAAGAAAAATCCAAGACAGTCCAGCCTGAAACCCTGGAGGAAAGAGTTACAAGAACCGAGTGTTTATATGTGTCAGATACACCAACAACTAAGACGCATTGAATGGATTTGGCGGCTAAGCCTCTGCTAGCCTGCCGAACAGCATTGCAGTCATGGGGATGGCTAGATGGGAGCAGGTGGAGAAATACGGGATGGAGTCAGAAGCAACAAGCCTCATGAGGACATAAAAGGAAAAGCACGAAAGAATATATTGTATGATACCTCAGAAACTCAGGTACACCACATCCTTGCAAAATAGGCAAGGCTTCTAGTGCAAAGGCTGAAACGCAGTTCGAGTTAGTTCAGTACAACTGACAGGCAACGACTGGAACTGTGGTCTTTTAAAGCACTCTTTTGATGGACTGAACCCAGGGTCTTTGCACTGAGCTCTATCCCCTCCCCTTTCCATGTTTTACTTTGAGACAGGGTCTTGCTAAAACACTCCGGTGTCCAGGCTGGGTTTAAACTTGTGATCCTCCTGCCTCAGCCTCTCAGCGGACTGGCGTGGGGTATTGAATATAAGCATGCCTCTCTCTGCAGCTGTTTCTCACGACTGTTGGCTCTACATTCCTTTATAGAGGATCCACTTCACAGTCTCTCATGCTACTGAGTAAAGAGCCTCTGTATGAGATCCTGCAGGAGGGGGATTTGGCTCGTTTCCATCCCTAGTCTTAACACAGAGGCCGGGGAGGCAGGATATCACAAATGTCCTATGGAGAAGTGAGGCGAGCAATTCTCCCTCCATAGGGTAATCTCTATTAACAGAGAACGCACGGCAGAGCTGCTGCTTTGCAGCTGTCCTTGGCAAACTTACTTTTTCCTCTCATCAGGTTGTTGCCTCTCCCTAATCCTTTTATATTCTTTTTCTTTTTGTTGACACCCTAAATACTGAAGAGAAGTCCCAGCTAAATGGTTAAGATATTAAATGATAAATCGTTCTTTAGATTTGCAGTATCCAGAACATCTGACAATATAAAACCCTTCCTTGTTCTTTAGTCTTACAATCCATGAACACAAAGTACGTAAGCTGATGTGCTTTAACTTGCAGAAAAGTGATGTATATTTAAAAAGCACTATAGAAACTAGCCCTAGGAGGCTGAGACCCACTGCAATATTCCAGAGAAGGAAAAAATGTGTCACACACTAAGGATGATGATCACTGCCTTGCCACGAGGACCCTTCCTGCCCTATTCATCTCTTCTACCTCTATAAAAGCTCTTTGTGCTCCTGAGCCCCAGAAGACAGAGATTTGAAGCTGTAGTCATTCTGTCTTCTCAGCCCTTGAATAAACCTGATTCCTTCCCACCGTTCTTATTTCCTAAGAATTATCCTTCAAGTGGTGAAGAGCTCAGAACTATGCCGGGAACAAATTGTGATAGAAAGGGAAATCCATACCCATTAAAGTAACAGGTAACAAATATGTGTACATATGCTGTTGTACACATATACTATTTAGAAAAATGCTCTAATGGGTTTGATTTTCCCTGTACTTTCAAAATTTCAAACTATATTCTTAGTTTGAAATACACTCTTATTAAATAAGATTAGTAGGATATCTACTAATACACTCTTATTAAATAAGATTAGTAGGATATCTTCTTTTCCAATTACATTTTTGTTAAGAGGGCATGTACAGAAGACAATGCTGTGGGGTCTAGTACTAAGACTTCATGACTAGCAGAAGGAACTGGGGTAGAAGGCATACGAAGAGAGGACTAGCGGCCTTCAAATATTTAAGTGCAACAGTACAGAATAAGTTTTAGAGAACAGAACAAGACTAGTATGCAAATTTACAGCGAGGGGGGCTTCAGTTCAACAAGGAAAAATTTCAAATGATCAGAGTAGTTCTGCAGTGTAATAGGACTGTTTGTGACATGACAGAGATCCTGCTACTAGCAGTGCTTGAACTTGGGCTGGCTTCGTGTTCAGGAAGGGAAGTTACTGAATAGCTTTGGAAGCTGGACAGCTGGATTTTCAAGACTTCTTCTAATTTCAAGAAGAGAGAAGATAATAAATCATCTTATTTTTCATGCTACAGAGCACATTTTAAGAAAAATCCCATATAAACTAAAATGGTTTATAGATAATTTTTGCTATAGTGTTTACCAGGGTTACAGTGACAATTTGCGAGAGGGAACACTATATGATTTGCTTTTATGAAAAAGAGGAAAGTAGAAATAAAGGTTCTAGGGAAGTTATAAATTGTAACGACGTCAAGCGTTAAGTTTTCTCAAGAATAATTTTTTAATATGGAGATAATGAAAAGGAGCTGAAAACCCATTATTTTGGTTTCCACAAGGAGAACACTAGATGGTGCTATTTGGCTGTCAGAAAGATTTACTAAGGAAGACACTGTGTGGCAGTTCAGCAGGTGGTGCTCTGGACACTCCCCATGAATTTTTACCCTTAAGGATCATGTTAGGTTTGGGGGAAAGTAATAAGAATATTAATTTGATGAAGTTTAACCCTAAAATTCGATTACTTTTAAACCAAACCACAAGTTTAATATTATTTTAAAATAATTTCACTGTTTGACAGTACAATCTGATTCCATTTAAATGGAAATTTTAGCTACTGAAATTATTAAAAAAATCCCTATTTTTTTCACTTAGCTAGTCCTCCAAAATCTAGTTACATCTACTCTTGATAGATCTTAAAAGACAGTTTCTTCAAGTTGCTTATGAAATTTTAAAAATTATCCCTAGCAGAAAACACTAGTTTCTATTGTTTAAATTACTGCAGTATTTTAACACAAGTACAGGAAACAACACATTTTGAAATAATTCTATCAGTATATTACTTCTTATAAATAACATTTCATGATTTTTTACAAGACAGTGAAACCATAAAAATACTTTTACTAAAGTGCAAAATAAATATAAAGCTTTACTTTTATATTTCCTACTGTTGCCCTTTGTTAAATATTAAAAAGGTGGAGAAAAATGGACAGATAAAAATACACGTTTTGCACCCTGAATCATTTTAGTTTTAAACTCTCAGAGTTCCAGGACTTGTTTATGATTTTTTTCCTTATCTCTCCAGTTCTGCTTCAAGAATTTCCCCCCATGTATCTGCATCCATTGGGTACATGATTTTTTCTGGTAGGCTAATGGGAGAACAGATGTTGCTATATCTGCCACTTAGCCATTCGTGTTTGACTTTACTCTTCTGGTAATTCCTCAGTAGTATGACCTGCAAGGAGCAAAGCATCATCATTTCAAGGGAATGTTGTAGGTGGTGGGTTAGTTTGTTTTTTTAAAACTAGAGTAGCTGACCCACAAGGGCTAACAAGAAAATTAGACATGCATATTAATGAATGTTAATACACATATCATGCACAATATTAATAAATCAATGTGCATAAACATGCATGTGTATATATAGAGAATAAGCCAAAGAATTTACTGGAGGCTTTGAATAACGTGGGGTAACAAGAAAGAGCTGCTTTCACTTAACAAAGGAACACTTCTGAAGATAGGATTTGAAAAATATAGGATAGATGTAAGAGAGTCCGGACAGTGTTTAGCAGAGAAAGACTAATAACAACTTTTATTCATTTCCCAAAGTCAACATATTCTGTTATTCTGCATATGTAATTGTACTGAAGTAAATATGCTCTGTATATTTTTCTGCACATCTAATCTCCTCTCCTCCAAAGTCAGCACAGTTTGTATGTTGCATACTCTGTTATTCTAATATGTAATCTTACCTCCTCCAAGCAGAAGTTAAGAGTTGCTTCACAACTCCTACAATGACATTGTCAAAAACACTGTAAATCGCAAAGATTAAACTTACCCTCCAGGAATACCCATTCTCTAGGTCATTATCTATTTCTCTTTGGCACACAGCTCTGACAGTCAAGCAGTGAGGCTTCCATAAGGAGTCACTGTTTCTTATTGTGTAATTCCAGCTCCTGCAGGTCACTGAAGCTCTGCACAAACTCTGAATGTCTAGCTGACTGAAAATTTTAAAAGTCACTTCTGGAGGAAACAGTTCAACGAAGTTATTTTGACTCTTGTTTTTTTCCTTCTCAGCATTCACAGAGTTCAATTCTATGTTACAAACTTTCACTTTACTGTTCCTCTTGGAATTTTTCTGCATAGCTTGATGTTTTAGTAAATTATCTTCATCTGCAACCTAAAAAGCAAAATTTAAACACAATTTCTTCACATCAGACAGTAAATCTTACTCTCAATCTTACTTTTTTGGGCATGATTTGCTGTGTTTATTTGTTTGTTTGTTTGGACACAAGGTCTCACTATGTAGCTCAAAGTGGCCTTATGCTGTTTTACGTAGCCCACACTGGCTTCGAACTCAATGGCAATCCTCTTACCTCAGCCTCTGAGTGCTGGAATTATAGGCGTGCAGCTGCCCAGCATTGGGCATGATATGAAGAGTTTCTCAATCTATAAAACAGGACAAATCCTGCTTCTCTATTCTGTGTTCTTTACAGGGATAGTTATAAAACATATAGCCTCATGTCTGAATTGCACATGGAAGGGTTTTGTTTCTTTAAATTTTATTTAAAGGAAAAAAAACCCAAAACAGTACAAGGGTACAAGTAATACAGAATTTCAAAAAAAATAAACAGTAAGAAATCACTAGTTAATAGATTACATATTGTCATCTTAGAAATAGTTGTTCAAGTTACAGGATTAAAGCATACAAAGTGGACAGTCAAACAGTGAGACTGCAAACAGTTGAGTTCAATGATCCAACAAAAACTTAGTAATATGGTCATCTATCTTACACATCTAAACACACTTGCTCCTCTAGAGCACTTTCTTTTCCTCTCTTTTTTACAATAACATTTATACATTTTGGGTTTTATTACTCCCATAGTTCTTATTACTTTTTTGGAAGGGTCTTCTTTTGAACATTTTAAGCAAATGAACTGATTTCTAAATGTTTTATTTTCTTCCTGAAGAAAATTATCTAAAATAGGGAAATGACTCTCCATGTTAGAACCATTACTTACTAAGTTTAGTGATAATGCCTACAAGAACACATTTAAGTATTTACTGCAAGTACTTCTGAAAATGTACCTGGGTAGGTAAGATTAAACTCTTTATCATTAAGTTCTTTATCATTAAGTTCTATTATCTTTTGGTAATAAGAATTGTGTAACTAATTGTACCTAATGGGTAGGTACATTCACACAAACACTACCTGAAATGGACAAATGGATAAGATCCCAGTTATAAAGGCACAAAGTTTCAAATATGCAATTCTGCTTCCCTTTTAAGACTATTGTTTTAGAAATAGCCCCTTTAAGACATCCCATATATATAGTCATAAACTAAAGATGGCGGGTTACTGAGACCATCACACACATAACAAGTATAAACAACGTAATTTAGTTAGGTGTAACATGTGACTAATAATTTACTCAAGGCACACTGGCGTATGCTTCTGAATCAGTGTAACCGTAACTGTGTACACCACCCCTGAACTACATTTGTATACAAAAATGGCTTGTATTTACTTAAAATCAGTTTGTGGCATTTTGCTCTTCCCTTTAAAATGAGGGGTTCGGATGTAACAAAGGGACTTGAGATCCTGCTTTTAAAAAAAATTAGCTAATAACAGTTCCCTTTTCTACAAGTAGTACTCAGTTATGTTTCTGAACTTGCCAAGATCACAGTGGTGTGCATTCATTAGGTTGTTTATGATCCAAATTAGTTGTGGTAGTTAGTAATTGTAATGTCTAGGTTTAACAGAGGACTTCCTCTTGAGAGTTGAGGAAGAAAGCAAATTGGTAAACACAGTTTAAACCCAGAGCAAGTTTTTGTCACGCCCATTTTCGCTTCTCGCAATCATTGCAAACCAAAGCCAAACCAACGTGCTCTTGAATCTCATAATACAATTGTACACTGCAGTTAAAGATTTGCTACTTCTTCCAAGATCTCACTATAGAATAAAATGCTTCCTCACCTCGAAAGAATTCCACAGGAGGTGTATGAAAGCTTTTGATTTTAATTAGAGATGCAGGACAGGTTCTTAAAGTTTCACTAATAATCTTCCAAGTTCAGTTTCAACCAGATGTCAGGAAAACTGCTCCCTTTCTGTCCCTTCTCCTTTGTGTATCAAGTTTTGCTCAACTGCCTTTCCAGTTAGATGAGAGCTCCTCTCCCTTTTAAGTGTCCCTGGACCAAGAAGTTGGAGGAGCGGGCGCTGCTCGGCCAGACTGGATCTCGGAGTCCCCCACCGTGTAGGGACCCCGGTAGGAGTGGCGACTCCGCGTCCCCTGCAGACCACCATTCTAACACGGTCTGTGTGAGCTACCGCTATCCAAGTCCCAAGAACTCGCGCACTGACAAGTAAACAAAAACAACGTAGGCAACGTCAACGTGGCTCCTAAAGGAAAGGCTGCTAAAGGAAAGCTGTAATTGCACCGAGGCCGCCCCCTCCCCGGGCGTAGAAGCCAATAGAACACTGGAAGAAGACCTTCCTACTTACAGCGTCCTACTGACTCTCCTCCCACGATTCAAATTCTCCGGGATTGGAGTCCTTCCCCGTGGTCCTTCACATCCCACCCATTTTGGCCCCACCCCCTCACTGGAATGGCACAGGCGCAGAGGGGCGGCGCAGTGCTTTCTGGGATTAGTAGTTCTCTTAAGGGATTTTAGCTTGGTTAAAGGAGAAGTAGGAAGGCAACAAGGACTACAAGATCCGGCGTCCTATGAAGTCGGTGGGCGGTGAGAAAGGTAGAAGGGGGGAGAAGCCGGGTTTTCAAACCGAAATTTGCAGGCTGTCAGAGCGGGGAATCCCCGAGCGCGTCACTGGCTTAGGTAGAGGGCGGGACTTCGAAAACTGCACTGGGCCCCTGAGTCCGGGCTGGACCGCGGTCACCCGAGCTGAGTTTGGCTCCTCACCTCCCCTTGTTTCCTTGAGGCCTGGACATGGCCCGCCTGTCTGTGGAAGGCGGAAGCGGCTGCAGGCGCCCTCTTCTCTAGAAGGAGCCTAATTTCGCCTGCCATGTCGGTGGGTTTCGAGCTGCAGCCGCAGGACGGCGGTCCCCGGGTGGCTCTGGCGCCGGGGGAGACGGTGATCGGCCGCGGGCCCTTACTGGGAGTAAGTGTGGAAGGGGACTCGTTGGACACGGCGATCCTGCAAGGTCCTTGGGTCCGAGGGCCTTCTTTCGAACCTGGATCTATTTCCCACCAGCTGGTCCTGCCTGTCTGGATTTTAGAAGTTTGGGGCAGCGCGTTTTATAGTCAACTTTAGTCAACTCACAAACATTTATGTAGCGTTTAAAACCCACTGACTACAGTCATCATTATCACTTTAACTAGGGGTTGTTTATATGACTCATCAACTAAGAATACATTTTAAAACGTAAAGTGTAAGCAAACAAACCTATTCCCTTCTTGGGGCATTTGGTTATTACAAGGGTTGCGAATATTGAATAATTAGGCCTGGAAAGCCTAAAATGTTTACATTAGCACCTAGCTTATTTCAGCAAAGTTTGTCCACACATGATCTTGTCTCCCCTAGGCTAATTTGTTGTTAAGCTTTGGGTATTTTTGAAGGACCAGATAGGCCCTACTTGTATTATAATGTCATTTTTTTTTAGTAATATCAGTAGATAAACCTTAGAGTAGCTTTGGATACTCTTCCAGTCACTGGCCTAAGGACACTTTTTATATATGAACTAATATGCTTTTTTCAAAACCCCACGAACCAGATGCTTTTATTATCACCATTGTTCAGACAAAAAAATTGAACCATCAATCGGTTAAAGCTTTTGGGCGCGTATTGCCATAAAACCGTATATTCTCCGTCCTTTTTGGGACGATTACGAGTTAAAAAATTTGCAAATTGCTTTTGGAACTCTACAGAACTCTTCCTCAGTACATCTGTCTGTATACGTGTGCGTGCTTCCCCTAACATTCAGCATTTCTCATGTTATGCCCACTTTGTACGTCCAACACTGTGGAGCTTGAAAAGATGAATTGGTTGTGGGGTCCCTATTCTGTGGGAGTTTTCTCTTGGACTGTTTATACAGACCTATGGCAGTTGATACCAGAGAGTAAAGAGCATTGATTATTTTTCTGGTTAACTTTCAGTGTCTGAATGGAACCGTTGGTTTTAGCCTTGCACTGTTCTGGGAGCAGGAAAAGGAGTAGTGGAATTTACAGTTGTCTTATGGAAGTTGATTCTAATGTGTGTGTGTGTGTGTCTGTGTGTATGTAAATACACACATATATGTATTAAGGTTATAGATGAAGAAATTAATGTTGCTGTTGTTTTATTCCTAATGGGCCACTGATTATTTAAATGTTTAAATAACATCTTACTAGTATTCTCCAGTTTGCTAGCCAATACAACATTTGGAGGAGCTCCTGGGATTGTTTTGTTTTTCTTTTACTATGGAGGTTAGAAACTCAGTGTTTCATCTAGTAATCATATGCCTGTTATTGAAAAGTTTTACCGGTACCAGGGATAGAACTCACAACTGCCTGCTTGCAAGGCAGGCGCTTATGCCACTGAGCGAAATCCCCAGCCCCCTATTGAAAAGTTTTAACTTGCTTAACAATGTAGCCCAGGCTGGCTTGAACTCATGTTGATCCTCTTGCCTCAGCCTACTGAGTGCTGGGATTATAGATGCGCACCACCACAGTTGGCTTATAAGTCCTTACCTCATTTAGGTAGAAATTAAGGAGCTCAATTGCTGCATCATATCATAAAGAGCATGTTAAATTTTACAAGAAACTGCCAAACTGTCTTTCAAAATGGCTGTACTAGATGCATTCCCACTGGCAATGAACAAGAGTTCCTTCTGCACCACATCCTTTCTTGCATTTCTATTTGTCAGGGATTTGTATTTTGCCTATTTCAGTACACGTGTAATGGACTCTTTTACATATGTACATGTATTTCCTAGTTCCGAGTAGAGATTGAAACCCAGTTTTTTGGTAAGATCTGCTTGTGTTTTCACTCCCAGTGTGGCTGTTGTAACAATATATTAATGATGAAGAGGATGTTCTTATACTACAGAATTCACTTACAAATAGCGCTGCAGGTGAAACAGGTTTGGTGAGTAGAAAGTTTAATAGCACCAGTTCTGTAGAATTCTGTCATATTGGCCAATGATTTAACAGGCTTGAAGTGGTAGCTCAGAAGGTGTTAGAGTTTACTTTTTAAAATCAAAATCATCCACCTTTCAACAGAATTATGTATTAAATAGGTGTTTATGAATTAGCCTGATAACTACCATTTATACTGTTGTTCTTATGGGAAAATATAGTCACAAATTCCAGACATTTCATATCCAATATTTTAATCTTCCAAGGAGAGGTTGTTAGTAATTTGGAGCCTACATGGAGAGCCTCTGACCATACCAAGTCTCTTTCTTCAAATTTTCCCTATTTTAGCATCAGAAATTGGATTTTGGTAGATTACAAGTGCAGTAATGTTAAGCATCTCCTATCAACTAATTTACTTTGTGAAGGAATATGACCAACTTATCATCAGATGTTATGGCAACATTTTAGTGTTGATTACTGAGCTCTGAGTAAGTACTGGACCTGATGCTGGGAAGCCCCACAGGTAGGAAGGTTTTACGACTTATAAACTTCTTGTTACTAATTAGTCTGAATTCAATTTCCGTCTTACTGTTGGAATTTTTTTTACTTGCTATGCAAACACACGAAGTATAAGGAAAGGATTTTATGCAAATTATACCTAAAATAGATCCCAGGTTTCTTCATTAGGATTATACATTTTTCCATAACATTGGCTTAAACCTTGTACTATTTTTGGTTTTTATTTATCATAAAAATATAAATTTGTCTATTTTTACTTTTCGTATATAAATTATAAAGTATTATACAAGATAATTTTTATTATCTTAGTCCTTGGTGTGTAATACATAATAGTTTGTACTGAAAAAATCTGGTTTATATTTTCAGGAATAAGGCTAAATAGGAACATTGAATTCATGAAATATACCTGCTTATGATATTCAGAAAACCTATGTAGGAAGTCATTTTTAGGAAAATTAACTGATACTGATTTTCCAGTAACAGGCAAAAATTAAATGAAAGGTTTGTTCTGTTCCATTTATTTCAGGCTCCATTAGCTTTTATACTTTTACTCCATTCAGTTTTGTTTTTTACTTTTAGAATTTTGAGAATGGTAGTGAAAACAAATAGGTCAGAGGCGTGATTCAGAATAGCTTAGCATTTCTGCTAGTACTATAAGAAAAATCTTCATTTTGTTTGACTTAAATAAATGCTAAAAATATATTTGACACCCAACAACAAATCAGAAATGTTTCTTTTATGTTTTCATCATTTTATCTTCTAACATAATGTTTATATCTTAAAAACAGAGAAAAGACTTATACATATATTATGGTGGATGAAGCTTTCAATTCAAAAGTAGAAAATCAAAGGCAAGGAATACATGTAATATCAATTAAAAAGTGATAAAAGAATGGAGAGTCCTGTTCCAATTCAAGAAACACTTTTTCAGAGGTGGCTAGATCTAGAATGGGACGCTGGGATTAAAGATGTGTGGTTACTAAATTATTCCACTAACTGCTATGGCACCTGCCCTAACCTGATAAGTCTAGATAAAAGTTGCAGAAAGAAGCTGGCATTGTTGCTTGTGGCTTGTGGCTTGGTGTCTTCTGCCTGGCACAAACTGTTTCTCCTCTGGAGGGCCCTCTGCCAGGCCACTTTGCCTTGGAGCCAGTCAGCTGTGGACTGAAGACTTTAAAAACTGTGAGCCAAATAAACTTCCTTTTTTTAAACCTCCTTTTTAAAATTTTTATTTTGAAAATAATAAAACCAAATGAGAAGAAAAAAAATGAGGTTATTCAAAACAAAAGGATGGACATAGTACATAATTTAAAACCACAATACAACGTGATCTACAATGGTTACCATGATGTCTCTTGTTGTCTTCAATAGCATTGCCCATATCATCAGGTACAATAAAATTGAACATAGCAGTACAGAACAAAATCAATAAAAACAAAACATTGGAGACATTATAGGAATTCAAAAGAGGGTAATAGTTAAGCCAGAATGGATATCATAGTGAATCTTACTGTCTTCAGAGTAGTTGCCTATACTCTCAGACTTAATACTATCAAACATAACAGATTCAAATAAAATCAGTCAAGACAAGATGGTGATCAAACAAGACAAATTCAAACAAAATCAGTCAAAACAAGGCAATGAAAGCAATACAGAGTTTTAGATTAACTTAATAGGAAATTAAAAATGGTTACCATAGTATATCCTGCTATCTTTGGAATAGCTGTCTATGCCTTCAAATCTAGTACAAGTAGACAAACTGGAACAGAATATAACCAAACTAAACAGAACAATGAAAGCAATATGGGTTTCAAATCATGGTACAAGATTAATAATGTCCTCTGCCTTCCCTATTTAGACAATTCCTCCCCTTTCACTTTCCAAAGGTACATTGAACATTTTGTATCCCACTAACTCCTTTAGTTTTTAGATTAGAGAGGCAACCTGCTATTTACCAAAATGGTTCTGAACCTTTGTACCCCTGAGCTTAGTCTCAGATTGTACCCATTTACCTCCAAGAACCTCAAGGTTTTCCTTCCTTATAGCTGAGTAGTTCCCCATTGTATAAACGTGTTATATGTCTTTCCAACCAATCTGCAGCTGATGGGCGAGCTACCCCCACTTTTTTTCTGGTTCCCTGTCACATAGAGCATTATTTTCTCATCTTTAATTTTCAGTCCATAAACCCTCTTTCAGGTTAAATATAATTCTTATATATAGCATATTGATGGACCCTATCTCCTGATTACCCTGTCTGTGTTTCTTTTATTAGTGTATCGAGGCCATCCATGTTAGTGATTATGGCCAGCCTTCTCTGCCTCATCTCTGTCATGCTATTTTTCTGCCGTTGGTTGTCTTCACTGTCTGCCCCATTCAGTGAGCCCCTCTGTTGCTGTTCTTGAAACCATCATCTTTTGTTTTCTCTCTCTAGAATGTCCTTCAGTATTTTTTGTAGGATTGGATTGGTGGTCACAAAGCTTCCCAGTTCCTTTTTGTCATGAAAGCATCTTGTTTCTCCATTAATTCTGAGAGATAGTTGTTCAGGATACATCAGTCTGGGTTGGAGGTTATTTTTTTTCAGGGCTTGGAATACTTTGCTCCAAGCTCTTCTTGATTTGATGGTTTATGTCAATAAGTCTGTTGTGATTCTGATGGGTTTTCCATTATGGATGATCTGTTTCTTTTCCTTGATAGCTTTTAATATTCTGTTCTTTTGTTGAATTTCTGGGATCTTGATTATTATATGCCTGGGTGTATACCTATTTTAGTTATAGCTGGCTGGCTGTATGCCTCATATATCTGAATATCATTTCTTTTTCCTGTGCTTGGGAAGTTTTCTTTAATTATTTCTGTAAATAGCCTTTGTATTTATTTTGTGTTTACCCCTGCTTCTTCACTCACATATTTTATTCTTAAGTTATAGATCTTCTTGTCATCTTCTAGCCTTTGTATTGTTACTTCCTGGTTCCTTGTTATTTTAAAGAGATCTTTCCTTTCGTGATCATACGTTGTAAATCTGCCTTCAAGCTTTGATAGTCTATTTTTAGTTTCTTTCAAGCAGTCTTGCCAGCTTTCATTGGAGTTTTGAATTTCCTGGTGATCTCTTTGAATCTGTTTCATGTATTCTAGATTTTTTTTTTAAACTATTCTTCATTGAAACTTTCTCTCCTTTTTCTTTGCTCCTCTATTCTTCTATCTGTGTCTTCTTGAGATGTACTTAGCATTTCTTTTATTATATTTCTTATATCTTCCTTTACTTGTGTAAGTATTTCTGTTTTGAGTTCTTTTATAATGTCACAAATACAATTCTTTATGTCAGATGCTGCTTTTTTGGAAACTGCAGGTATACAACCCCCCATCTCTTCTGTGTTTACCTCCCCTGGGCCAGGACTGTTTGGGTTGGAGGCTGGAGACTTCCCTTTGTTTCTTCCTCTGTCATGTTTCTGGTTTCTTCCAGACAAGTGAATAGTGGGGTCCCTGGCTCTTCTGTATTGGTTATAATTACTGTGAAGTATGGTGGCTAGGGATTGCTGCCCTCCCCAATCTGCTGGTGACCTCTGGAGTACAAGCAGGGGTGGGACAGGCTGGCCCCTTTCTTGTGAGCTAGTCAACCACTGGGAGTCTTCACCATGTTAGTGTGTGCCATGTGAACAGGGCTGGTTAGGGATAGCTTCAAGGAGACCTTCTCCTTGGCTATTGGATCACACATAGGGGCAGGACTCAGTCCAAGCAATTCTCACCAATATTCTCTGTGCTAGGAGAATCAGCTGACTAAAGCTGCTGCAGTTCTGGCTCCAGGCTTATCCTGCCAGACTCCAAAATGTTGCCTGGCCAGTTGCATGAGGATTGAGTTCCCGTGTACTCACCACAAGCCGGTGCAGATCTCCGCTCTGCCACTCCCCTCCGCAACTGCATTCCTCCCACCAAGGCTCTTGAGCTCACCAACCCCCAATTTCATCACAACATCGTGTCTCTGGATTCCAGTGGCTTTTCATATACAGCAGGACTGGCTCTAATGGGCACGTGTCTGGTGTCTGGCTACAGCCTTCCGTCCACGTTTTTCTTTTCTTTTTTTTTTGTTTCCCCTTTAGTTCCTTCCTGGGTCGAGAGGATCCATCTTCTGTCTGCTCTTCTCCAGCATGTTTTATTCCAGCATCCAAGCTGTTTCTCTCAGAGAGACTCTTTACTTTGTTGCTTAGTGATCCACCATCTTCACAACTCCCCCAAATAAACTTTTTCTCCTTTAACTTTGGTTGTTAGGTATTTTGCCTCAGCAGTGAGAAAAGTAAGAGCTGGTACCGAGAGTGGGGTAATTGCTATGACATACCTGACCATGTGTTTTGAGAGTCTTTGGAACTGGTTTTGGAAGGGTGAAGAGTTTGGAAAGTCACAGAGATGTTGCCTGAAAAAGCAGGCCTGGAGTACCTGAGGCTGTACTTGATGAGGGAGTCTGTCAGAGCTCAGAAGAACAGAATGCTGACAGAAATTTTGCTGGTGCAGACCAGGCCTGGTGCCTTTCCCAAGAGCCACCTGGTATATGGACTGGGAGACAAGAGGAACCCTGGCCCCTCAGACCCTTCCCATGTAGGCAACTAGCTGAGTCAGAGGAGCATGGCTGGGATGATAGCAACTGAGACACAAAAACAACTTAATGCTTATTGATTGATTGACTTTGCAGGCCAGGGTCAGGTAGTCTGAGCATCTGTTTAGTGGATAATGATATGTAATAAAGTAACTGTGGGGGAATTTCTGCCTTGTTTTTGAAATTCAATATTTTTTTCACAATTTTGTTTTGTTCCACTTTATTGTTTTGTTGTATTCCCTTACCAAAAAAAAAAAAAAAAAACCCTCAGAAACAAAAACAGAAAAAACACACTAGGCTTTGGAGTTTTCTGTGGGAGAAGAATTGCATTTGGTGTTGAACTCCAGATTATGTGTCTTATGCCTCTGCATTTTGCTCCTGTTTGGAGACTTTGCCTGAGACTGAAATTACGGGCAGTGGACTAATGAATCTTACAGAAGAAATTTCATGACAATCTAATGTTGAGGCCATGGCATGGCTGTTGTTTGGGGGCTATTAGCCAATCTGTGTTGAAAATCAGGAGCAACAAGCCCAGCAGAACGATTTATAATGTTTTGAGTTTGGCCAGAAAGGAAGCTCTGGTAAAGTCATGGACTGCAAAGATGGAAGAGAAATTGTTTTCTGAAAAGACTAGCAAGAAAAAAATCAAGTATTTCAGAAGAAAACGGAGGAGGATGCCCTGAGGACATCACAACAATCAGTAGGACTCTAGCCTTTGCAGACTCAAATTTGGAAAGGTGAAAAATTTTGCTTTGAGAAGACAGCCTAGAGCACCATGGCCATAGCCTAGAGAATTTGTTCCTCAGTGATTGGGTTCAGAGTGCTCAGTGATCCAGGCAGTTTGCCATTATAGCCAAGAGAGAGGAAAGCCTAGCTGTTGCTCCAGCCGATGACAGATCTTAGTGTCATTCACATGGTGCTGGTTTTAGGTGTATGCAGAATGCAAAAATTGTGGGATCAGGAAGACCTCCACCCAGATTTCAGAAGGAGGTTTGGAAGGCCAGGCAGTGTGCCCCTGAGAGGGCAGTGTGTGAAGCTGTGAGCGTGAAGCTGAAGTGCATGTAGTAAAGACTCCAGAAGTTTTGAGAAGCCAGGAATGTGGATTGTCTGAGGAAAACTGCAAGAAAGGAGCAGAGCTGGCTCAAGAGAGAAGCCTTGGGAGCTACACTGGCAGTATACAGGAGTGGAGCCACCCAAACCCTTTGGAGTTCACAACTTGCCACAGATTGCCAGGGATGCTGGATGTGGAACTGCAGGATTTGATGTTTGCCCTTGCTGGATTTTAGATTTGCTTTATTTCCATTCCTTGCTGTTCCTCTGTTTGTAATTTTTGGAATGGAAATGTCTGTCTTGTGCCATTGAATATTGAAATTATTTAACTTTTTTTTTCATTTGTACATGGACTTGCAGCTGAGTTTGCCTTAAATCTCAGAGGAGACTTTTGACTTGGACTTCTCAGTAATGCTGGACCTGATGGGACTTTGGCAACTCTTAGAGATGGACTTAATGCCTTTTGCATAAAGGAATGTATATGAGTCTCTGTGGGGCCAGGAACAGAATGTTATGTTTTGTGTCTAGATATACCCTCAAAGCCTCATGAAATCAATAGGTGGAACTTTTTCAGAGGTGACTGAATCTAGAATGTATGATGCTGAGATGAAAGGCATGTGATTAGTCCACCGATTGGTTTGGCACCTTCCCTAAACTGAGTAGTCTAGATAGAATATAGAACTTGTCAGGTATCAGTTGTGGCTCATGGCTTTGTTTTGCTGTCTTCAGGCTGGCACGAATTGTTTTTCCTCTGAGATGCCCCTCTGCAAAGCCACCCTGTGTTGGAGCCAGCATACTATGGACTGAAACCTCTACAAACTGTGGGCCAAATAAACCTTTCTTCCTTTAACTTTGGATTTGAGGTATTTTGTTTTGGCAATTTGAAAAGTAACTAAGCACTTCATCTCTGCAGTTGTTAATATATATTTCTTAAGGTGTGTTAGAATGTATCCTTTAAGCACATTTCTGCATAACCATATATTGTATACTTCAGAAATTTACAACTATGAAGTAAATTTTAATGTTCCTTATTTAGTTTTTTATTGCTTTTATAAGGCTATCCTTTTAAAAACATTTTTTAAAAGAGTTCACGATCTTTAAATATTATCCTCTTTCATCTAGAATGGTTCTCTTGCCTTTCATCTTAACATGAATGTTATTACAAGTCTAGGTAAGTTTTTCTAATGTCCCTCAGTTTTGATTTGTCTTTTTTTTGCACATAATTTGATTCAGGGTAAATATTTTTGGCAAGAATATTATATGGATCATGTAGACTCAGCACCACATCAGGATATCAATTTTTTGCTCTTTGGTGACTGATACATGTGACCACTTGGCTAAGGTGATGTCTTAGTGAAGAGTGTGTAGTTTGTAGAATGACAGTCTGAAACTTTTGAGCATTTCTTTTATTTTCCGGCACAACAAATTGTCCTGGGTCCATGTATTTGTCTGCTTTCCTGTCACTGAGACAAAATACTTGATATCCACACCTTAAAGGTGGAGAGGTTTAGTTGACTCACAGGTAGAAACAGCATCGTGTAACAGCACTGCTGAGGAGAGCTGCTTAATTTGCACAGTCAGGAAGCAGAGTCAAGAGAGGAGCTGGGGACAAGAATACACCAGGTCACCCCTTGTGCCCACCTCTTCTGACCAGGCCTCACTGCCAAGAGCACATTCGGCCATCACTCATCAATGGATTCATCCACTGGGCCACATCACTTTCCAAAAGGCTTGCCTCTGAACACAGGAGACTTTGGATCTAAACCACAGCAGGCTACATTTCTGGGTCCCAGACCTGGAATTAATTATTTCTCCAAAGAGCTCAGGTGTCTTTGAATGGGGAATGGTATTTAAGAAGCCAAGATCTGTGGAACTGTATTTATTATTTCTTCCAAGTGACCTCCATTCTCCCAGAGGCGTTGCCTTTTCTGAGCTTGTTATATGTGGTTGCATGTATTTTTAGGCCTCGTCTTTTGGATTCTTTTTTAGCTGGACCTCGCAAATGCTGGTGTGAGATGCGTCTTCAGTCTTGTCCAGTTGAGGGGAATCTTACTTCTTCTGGAATGATGCATCTGTATATCTGTGTTTCAGCATCTTTGGTCCCCCCTGCTTTCCCCCACTTCTCCTCCTGGTTGCTGTCGTCTGCTACAGCATAGGGCTTGGAAGTTGATCTGCTGAATTGTACGCACCCAAAAGTTTTTAGCAATCTTTCTATTAATTGTGCTTTAGCTGTGGGCAATGAGGATTTTAATTGTTGTATTTGTTGATTTCTTTGACTCACTGGAAGACTAAAATTTCTTGAAGTGATTAGAATTTAGGTACCTACATTTGTTGTGCAGAAGATGGAATGCTTCAATTTCAACCATTTTTATGGCTTTCCAAAATGTAAAATGTCTGACTTTCTGCTGAAGGTCTCATTGAAATGTGATAACTCTTTGCAACCAGCAAATAAACTTGGATAAGATTTTAGTATACAGTATTTGAAGTATGTTAGGATATTTATCTCAATCCTAAAAGGGCTGAGTCAGTGTGTTCTTTCTGAACCTTGAGTTTCTTTGCTTTTTAACTGTCTTTCTCATTCTATTCGCAGACTAATATCAAATCATTTTCTGTCCATTGTCAGTGCCCTGAGAGTGTTCCCAAGTCCTGTCTTATTATCTACTGTGAATAGAGAACTGGGAATTTGGATGACATCTTGTTAGACATGAGTATGACACTAGAATAATCAGGACCAAGTAGAAATTACAAGTCTTTTGAAGCTTTATTTAGAGCTGAGATCTTCTTAGTATGTCTATTTGATTATTAAATAGCCATTTTTCTTTATTTTAAGTTCTTTATTATGTTCTAATGTGAACAGTTAAAACTGTATAATCTTTAAAAAAGTTTTGTATTGTGACAGTAAGGGAGGCAGTACAATGTTAGGAGCAAGGGTGCCTCTGGAATCAGAGTGTTAGGGTCAAATCTTGGCTTCACTGCTTAATTGGCTGTGTGTCTGTAAGTTCATAGTTACTTAACCTGTCTGCACTTCCTTTTTCTCACCTATAAAATCTCTACGGGTTTTTTGAAAACTAAAACAGGTAATACCCAATAAGTATAGAGTAGTGCTTTCATTGTGGAAAATAATTGCTGTTCCTATTGATATAGTAATGAGGATGTATTGAACATTCATTCTGCACAAGGAACAATGTTAAATACAGCAAGACATTAGATCCTCAGGCTAATCCATATTTCGTCTCCCCAGATCCCTCTATAGCCTCGCCTTGGAATTAAAATGTTTTAGTGATAATTTCTTAAACATAAAAACGAACCCTGAAGAAAGCATGAATGGTAATTTTGTAGCCTACACAGGATTAGAAGTTTGGTTTAAAGGGAACATTATAACTAAATAATGTTAATTTGAGTCTTGCAGACACTTTGTTACTCTAAAGATGTGCGGCTTGTAATGAAATTGCAGAGTTGTAGAAACATGTGACCACTAGGGGTCACATTGTGCTTTTGTATTATTTAAAATATCCTTTTTTCCTAATGATAGGGAAACCTATTGCAAAGAAAGATTGAGATAGGAAAAGTCATTATTTCTTTCTGTAAAAATATAGTTTTAAAAAAGAAAGAAACCTAAAATGGATTATTATAAGAAACATCATTAAGTATTATGATTTTATACTTCACAGTTTATTACTCTGTTGATTAGAAAATCTGTTTGTATTATTGAAGTAGCAATGAGATCTTGGTACCAAAGTTTGAACAGAAAATTCTTACTGTGAGCCACTGAATAATTTGTATTTATGATTACTTTTAAAATATTGTGTGTAGGTATAGTCATGTATGTGTGTTTTTCCTTATATAAATTATTTTTATTAAGAGTGTGCATTTGGCATAAGTCGACTCAAAGAGTGTTCTACTAAGTTACTTTAATTTTCTGGATTTTTAGTTTCTAAATATGTGAAATATGAATAAAACCATGGCAGTGATTGTCAATTTCTACATTGTAGTGCAAGTTCTATGCAAATGATAAAGTGCTTTGACAACTGCTTTTGATTTTGGCCTACTAGGGAACACTGGGGAAAATGAAGGAAATCTCTAAAATTTGAAAGTCGGAAGAGTTTATATTTGCTTCCCTGAAATAGCCATTCAGGCTATTCAGAGGTTTATTTAAAATGGGCCGTCTTCATGATGTTTTATTGTAGGAAATATTTGAAACATTAACTGTGGTTTTGTGTTACTCATTTTATTGTGATTCTTGTTTAATTTTTGTTTGTTGACTTTATTAGTACATGTTTACACTATATAATGTTTCCATTCCCTGTAGGGAGTCGGTACACATGACAGAACATTTCCTTTCTCCCTCCCTCCCCTCTACCCCTCTTTACTTTTCCAGTCTCAGATTCATTTATTTATCTTACAAGATCGTATAAAGTTAATTATATACAGACTGAGCACCTGACTAATAGATTAAAGAAGATATAAAATGTGTAAGAAGACAGTTGTGCTAACTGTACTAAGTCAAGGTACTCTTGGTCTGCATTGAGTTACAATACTTTTTTCTTTATCTTTTTTCCTATTGTCTGATAGTTAAGTGATATTTAAGATATGATATTTAGGAACGTGTGTCTGAGTCACTTCACTTAACATAATGGTCTTGAGGGGCATCTGTTTTCCTACAAATGACCCAAGTTTATCCTTTTTTTAATGGGAGAGTATGTAGTACTCCAATGTGTATAAATACCACATTTTAAAAAATCCATTCATTTATTGACAGACATGTAGATTGTTTTCAAGATGTAGCAATTATGAATTGCACTGATATAAACATGGGTATACAGATATCACTGTGCTATGATGTCTGTAACTCCTTTGGGAAGATACCTAGAAGGAGCAATGGAATTTCTACTTTTAGGTTTTTGAGAAATCTCCATCATGATTTCCATAGTGGCTATATCAGTTTACAGTCCCACCATCAATGCAGAAGGGTTCTTTTCTCCTCTCAACCTTGCCAGCATTTGTTATTGGTTGGTTTCTTGATGGTAGCTATTCTTTCTGAATAAGATGGAATCTCAGTGTTGTTTTAATTTGCATTTCTCAAATGACCAATTGACCATTTGTATTTCTTTTTTTTTTTTTTTTTTTTGTCCTTTTCTTTTTTATCGGTACCAGGGATCGAACTCATGACTGCCTGCTTGCAAGGCAGGCGATTGTGCCGCTGAGCCAAATCCCCAGCCCCGACCATTTGTATTTCTTCTCTGAGAAATGTTTATTCATTTCAGATGCCCATTTTTTAATTGAGTCTTTCAATGTGAGGTGTCTAATTTTTTTGAGTCCTTTATATATTCTAGATATTATTCTTTTGTCTCAAAGAGTAGCTGGCAAAATTTTTTTCCCATTCTGTAGGTTGTCTTTTCACTCTATAGTTTCCTTTGCTGTGTGGAAGCTTTTTGATTTGATGTGATCCTATTTGCTGATTGTTAGTGTTTTTCCTTATGCAAGTGATATTTTGTTCAGAAAGTTGTTGCATACACTATGTGTTCAAAAGTTTTATTTGTTTTGTTTTCAAGGAGATTGTTTCTGTTCTTATGTTTAGATCTTTGATTCATTTTGATTTTAATTTAGTGCATGGTAAAAGATACAGGTCTAGGTTCAATCTTCTGCATGTGGGTAGCCAGTTTTCCCAGCATCATTTGTTAAAGAGACTGTCTTTCCTCCAGCAAAGGAATTTGGCCCCTTGATCAAAAATAACATAGCCAAGTTTGCGTGGAGTTATTTTAATATTTTCTCCTCTGCTTCATTAACCCATGAGTTTATTTTTTTGTTTTTCCTAATGCCATGCTGGTTTTTTTTTTTTTTTAATTACTATAGCTTTGTAGCATAATTTGAAGTCAGGGATTGTCATGTCCCTGTCTCACTCTGGTGTCCAGGATTGCTTTTGTTATTCTAGGTGTCTTCCGGTTCCATATGAATTTTAGGATTGCTTTCTCCAATTCTGTAAGAAATATTGTTGGTATTCTGATTGAGATTGTATTAAATCTATGTAGTAGTTTTGTAAAGATAGCCATTTTGACTATATTGATTCTGTCCAGGAACAGGCTTTCTCTCTATTGTCTGATGTTCTCTTCAATCTCCTTTTTCAGAGAACTATAGTTATAGAGGTCTTTCACTTCCTTGATTAGGTTAGTTCCTGAGTATCTCATTTTTCTTGATTCTATTGCTAATTTCCCTCTCAGTGAGTTTGTTATAGGTGTACAAGCACGCTATGATTTTCAAATGTTGACTTTGTATACTGCTATGCTACTGAATCTGGGTATTCTAGAAGTCTTTTGGTGTTTTTGGAGTCTTCTATTTAAAGGATCATGTTATCAACAAATAGTGATAATGTAACTTTCTCTTTCTCTGTCCATATCCCTTTTATTTGTTTTTTTTGTTTTACTTGTCTAACTAATGTTTCAAGAGCCATATTAAACAGAAGTGGCGATAATGGAAATCCTTGTCTTATTCTTGATTTTAGAGGGAAAGCTTTCAGCTTCTCTCCATTTAATATGATGCTGGTAGTTGGTTTGTCATAGATGGCTTTTATCAGGTTGAGATAAAGTCCTTCTATTCCTGTTTTCTTGCGTTTTTTTTTTTTAATCACGATTGGCTGTTGGGTTTTGTCAAATGCTTTTTTCCGCATCTATGGAGATGATAATTTTTGTCCTTTCTTCTGTTTATGTGGTGTATTACATATATTGAATTTTTGAACCATCCCTGCATCCCTGGAAAGAATCCTTCTTCGTTATAATGTGTGCTTTTTTTTTTTTAAAGATCATTTTCTGCAGGGTTCACCAATAACTTACTGAAGATTTTTACATCTGTATTCATTAAAGAGACTGCCTTGTGGTTCTCCTTTTTGGTTGGATCCTTTTGTGGTTTTGGAATCAAGGTAATGCTTGCTTCCTTTTGATTTCATTAAAGAGTTTGAGGAGTCCTGGCCTTAGATCTCCCCTAACTGCTTCACTTTTGCTGACTGACAGTGGTTTATTCAGGCAGTTCTCTGGAGTCCAGTTGTCCTCTCAGATTCTTCTGTGTCCCCGGGCCCCACTTCTGTCTTTCTTCTTTTAAGTTGTTGTGTTCCAGGGTCTGGAATCTGAGTCTTGGAGAGGAGGATTTGTTGCTGCTTACCACTCTGCCATCTCCCTGGAAGTCCTCTTTATTGTTATTGTTGATGTTACTACTTGCATTATAGTCATAGCTTTAAGGGCAGAATGGCTGGCATTGAAAAAAATGAGTACTGATTTCTGCCATTTTCACAATTGTGCAACATTTTGCAGGACCAGTGGATTTAATTGTATTTATGCATTGCTATAGTCTGTGTTTATAGATAATTTTAGTCCTGCTGTGGACAATGCCAGGGTTCAAGTGTTAGATAGTAAGCTAACCAAGGGAAGGGTTGTATAGTTAGGATGTTAACTGATTTGGTGTTTAAAGTACTTTTATTATATATTAGCCACAAATAAAAAGGTAATCTTAATGACAGGAATTGAATTTACAGTGAAGTGGAAAAGATTAATGATAATTTTTTTTAAACAATTCTGAAACTTTTTTGGTGGGGAGGGGTACCAGGGATTGAACTTGATGACCTTGTGTTTGCCAAGCACGCGCTTATGCTGCTGAACTCAACCACCAGCCCTAATTTTTAACATTTTAAGTGCTGATGATTTTTGAGCTTTGGGTCTGCAGAAATGATTGAGTGTAACTAGAACATTGCTGTAAATATGAAGCAAAAATGATGTGAGGAAAACGTGAATGTTTAAAAACTTTAAAAAATGTGTTACAGTAAAAGACTTTGCTTTAATGATACTCGGAATATTGCCCTTTGCTTTGAATATACTTATTCATCGTTCTTGCCGCTTTCTGAAACAGTCCTGGAAGTCTTTTCTTTAGCTCTACTGTTGGAACTGCTTCAGTGTCTTGAATCAATTGAAAACATTAACCTTTCATGGTCTTTCTGATTTTGAGGAAGAGCCAGAAGTTCACGCTGCTAGGTTTGGTGATAAGGTAGAGGAGAACGCATCAGAATGTCTTTATGGGCCTGCTTTTGCACTGGCTGATACTTGCCCAGAGCAATCATTGTACTTTTGCTTACTCGTCATAAAGAGGAACGAGGCATACAGCTTAGCCTGACAAGCGTCACGTCCTGTATTGGGTTGCCAGTATTCTCCCCTTACCGCCGGAGAGCTTCAGAATTGCTTCGGAAAGTGTCATTCTGATGGGACAAGCTGGTTTGAAGTGGGCAGGAATTTTCTGATATGGGATTAATAACAATGTGCCTTTTACTGTAATAAAATTAAAAAACATATGTATTCACCATAGGTTTTGATACCTTGTGTGTGTGTGTGTGTGATTTTATTTATATGTACATGCCAATCTCCTGAAAAGAGGTTTGTCATAAACATTTGGGTGTTAATGCTTTCTCTTCTGACTGCTGTTTTCTCCACTACCATGAATGGCCGGGGAGCTTAACTACAGAGCTGCCTCCGCCTGACCTCGAAGCCTGCGGCCACACTCTTTACACTCACCAGACTGCCTCTTTTTAAAACATTTGTTGTCTTTCCCTAATAATATATGTTATGTAGATTTTTTTTTCTCATATAAGTTTTGTGGATAAGAATTTCCACGGTTTGTCTGTCACGAATGGAAGCTCCCGTGTAAGATCCAGGTACCTGCAGGTCCTAACCCTGTGTTAGCTCTGTCATTTGCTCTTCCATGACTTTGGGCAGGTCTCTTCATATCTATATTGTTCCATGGTCTTTTAAATGAGGACGATCATTTCAATATAGAGTTGTTGAATGAAGGATAGTTTATGTGTAGCTCACTGATTTCAGGAACATTGCTAAGGATTTTGTTTGCTTATTTGTTTTGTTTTGTTATATTTTAAGGAGCTGTCTCTATTTGAAATTTTATTTGTTTTCCCTTTAGATAACAGACAAGAGAATATCCAGAAGACATGCCATTCTTGAGGTGGTGGGTGATCAGCTTCGAATCAAACCGGTAAATATGTTGTGAACGATTTGTTTGAACATTTTGTCTCTCACTGTTTCAGAACCTGATTAGTTTCTGAGGTTGTGGACATAGGGAATTAATATGAAACTATATCATTCTCACTATGAAATTGTATCATATCTCACTGGGAGATAAACTGAGCTGAGAATATAGCTTAGTGGCAAAGCACCTGCCTGATAAGTGTGAAGTTGTGAGTTTGATTCTTGCTATCAAAAAAAATCCAAACTGCTAAACTATGTATCTTCTTGGGGAAAAGCTGTATTTATATAGTTAGAATTTTAATGAAATATAACAGCTTGTTCATATATACATTATTTCTGTGTTTATAACTGGAAGTTCTGAGTACAGTTCTGAGAAAGCCCATAACTGTAATGTTTTTGTTTTGTTTTGTTTTTTAGGGTGGGATGTGATGACGGAAGTGACGTCTGTATTAAAGAGTTATATTTTCACATATTTCCATGCCTGATTATGCAGGTTACATATTTCTAAGATTTAGAACTAGTTTAACTTAATGGTTCTACCAAAAAATTTTAATTTGAAAGTTTCCATTAAGGTCTAAAATTTTAATTACTTACTTTGTAGCCTTAATCCTGGTGATTTGTTGGGACAGTCAATTTCTGAGCATATACTACGTGATTATTCCCTCCCATTTGTAGAATATCTTGTGTAGGAGAATCAATTATAAGTATGAAGGTCCCCTTATTTTGGACTAGATTCTATGTTGTGCAAGTACTGTTATGCAATTCATTAATTTATAACATTTTAAGCACAGTTTTAATTTTCATATTTTATATACAACTTCCTGTTGTATCATGAGTTCTTTCTTTTTACACAAGCATGAATTACTTCTTTGTATTATGCTACACTGAACTGTTCCCAAATTTGAAAAGTATCTTTTAATTCTAATAAAGGTAAAATTTTGAATAGGGCTGAATTCTGTCTGTTTCAACCCTGGAGAAAACAAGATTTGTATCTCATTTTCATTTGAGATTGTCTTGGTTTTAGAAAGGTATTAATATTTCTAGTCAGTTCTCCTTGGGAGCTCTTTTATTTACCATCAGTTATTCATCTCTGGGTCCTTTGAAACTATCTTATTCTTACTAAATGAGACTTACTAAATCATAAACTTCTTGAATATAGGCATAACACCTGTCATGTGGTAGAAGCCAAATTAATGTTACTAAATGCATGAGAAATGTTGCAGTGAGAACTGTATGTGGCATTTCTGGGAGTGGGGACATCATGGATTTTTACAGAAGTATGTTATTTTCTAGTCCTCAGTTTCTAAAATCTTTTTAATGAATTACTATGTTCTATCATAAAGAAGTTTGTGCTTTCTCTGAAGCACATTCAGAGAAAGAAGATAGGAATCTCTAAATTCCTACTGTACTTTTTCTGAAAGGGACTACCTTATTTAAAATAGCAATTGCAGCAGATAATACGCCTGGTCTTTCATGTGAAAGATCCATGACTCAATCCTAACTTCCTGCATGATTTGGATTTGCCTGTCTATAACCTGTGTTAATGAAAGAAAGAATTTATGGTAATTACTTTTTGATAAGTAGATTTTTAAAAAAGTCCTTGATGATTTGTTTTCTACCTTATTTATCAAAACAGATTATCAGCTGTTATAATAGATTTATAGACTCTTCTAGATTTGTATTTTTTACATCTAAATTCACTGATAATTATATATTGTCACAGAAACAATGTTATATGTGTATGTCACAGAAAATAAACCAGTAAACCACTAGTACTTTTATTCTACTTATAGTATCTTGATTATTCAACTTATAATATCTTGATTAACACTCAGTATGGGCCTCCCAGAAGATGCCAAAAAAAAAAAAACTTCACACATTTAGTTATGAAAGCATTTATCAACTGAATTGTGAAGAGCCAAATAAATACCAGATTTTCCTTCCATACTCTTTTATTTACTACAAAAAAGAAACCAATCTTACAACAATATCCCATAAGAAAGCAGTATAGCAAAAATATTAAGAGCAACATAAATTTCCAGCAACAACAGTATTGGGAGTATGTTGATATATGTGTGTGTGTATATATATACACGTCAATGTGAAATACACACAGCAATGAGAATAATAAATTATAGTAAAAACATAAAAAGGATTAAAATCAGGAACATAATATTGAATTACAAAAGAAAGCATTAGAGGCATATGATACAATGTAATTTTATATAAAATTAAAAATCCTACAAAATAAGCAATATTTTCAGTGTTAAATGGTTAACACTATAGAGAAAAGCAAGGAAATGATAAACAAAATTCAAGATAAGTACCTGTGAGGGAACCAAGAGGAGAGTAGGATAGGGAACACTTTTAGGGCATCTTAAAGGTAACAGTGCTAGACTCGGTGGCCCTAGGAAGACCTGCCACTGTGACCACATGCGGCTTTGGGGGCACAATTCAACAAGTCCCGACACTTCCATGATGGCAGATTACCAAACACTGGAAAACGTGAAAAAGTGTATTGATTATTATTGAAATGTATATATCTAGTAATAGAATCTGAGTGCTATTTTGGAGCATTTAACTAAAATTTGAATGTCATTCCAGGACTTTTTACATTTACCTCATTTGAAGGAAAGATGCATCCTAGACTTGAATAGATCCTTTGTTCTATGTATTGTGTGATATCTTGTTTATATTAATATGGTTTCAAGAAAATGCTCATTTCTTTGAAATAAATTAATTTATTCAGTTTGCTGAATAATGTACTGATTAATTATTCAGTTACTTTTTACAGTTAACCTTCAAAGTACAATTTAGAGAGATCTTAAAAGTGATTTTAATTATTAATGGAAGTTTTAAAATCTTGGAAATAATGAGATAGACAAGTGACTAATAGATCACTGACTTTACCTTAATTTGCATTACATGTCGCTTGTTCTCTGCCCCTTATTCAATCACAGAAATTCTTTCATCTCCTAAAGCAAGTTACATATGCCACTGTGATAAAGTGAGTGAGGACATTTTTGTGAAAAAACCTTGTCAAATTATAGAGATGAATATATAAAATATTATATTATGATGATCCATTCTGTATACCCGAAAATAAAATGTTTAAATTTTTTTCTGCCTTCCTTCAGCTTGGAAATCCAAACTCACCATCAAATAAAAGCATAGTTTTGACAGTGATGTTAAATACAGTTCAGACAATTACTAATCTGTACTTTTAAATTGGATGAATTTCTTCCCCCCCCATATTTCTTCTTTAAAAAATGCCTTAGTTTTCTAGCAGTTCTTGGAAATAGTGCAGAGGAGATGATGTTAGTTTTTTAATATGTTATTTAAACTTAATCTTCAGTCTAATAGCAGCAGGGAAAATGCATTATAAAGGCAAAATGATGATGTTTGGTATAAATGACTGTATTACCAGAGGATAGTTATGTTCTCAGGGTGAATTTACAGCCATGAGTGCTTTTATTTCATTTTAATAAAATCTTTCCCATTTTGGTTTTGAATGGTGTAGTTGAAGTAGTTCTGTTACAACATATGAGGAGCATTTTTTTGCCTTTTGATGTTGATCTTCAAAATGTACATCTTTGTATTGTGTTTTTCTGTTTCACAAAATTCTTGAGTTGTGATTTTTTTCTATGAATTTATGAGTAATATGTATTATGAGTATATGTATATGTATAAAAACCTATAATAGCCTTGCCTCAACTTATTTGGCAAAATAAAAATTTAAAATGTTTTCTAAATTAAAGTGAAAAACACTGAAAATAAACTAACCTCTTTTTTGGGTATACATCAATCTTTCTTTAATATTTAATGGCAACTCTGGGAGAAAGCTATAGAAAATTGATTTATATTTTAGTTCCAGTTCTTCTGGGTTAATGCATCTTTGCATTAGTTCTTAAGTTATAGCATAACCTATTTAAATTTGCATTTATAATCCCTCGGATATGTTAAAAGGCACACATGAACAATATGTCTCTCATATAGGCTGGTTTGGGGGTTGGGAAGATGTTTAATTGTACAATGCATTTTAAAATGTAGGTCAGATTGAATATGTTTTCCCTTTTATAATTAAATTTTTTATGCAAATTATTTTCACAGAAATATAGATAGATAAACAAACATGCTTTTATTTGGGTTAGTAAGTTGGTATATATTCTGTAAGCTTTTGTCAATTTTGGCCTTACTTACAAATGTACTGGTATAAAATATAGTATCACTTTGAAAAGTGTGGTGTTTTATATAATATTTTCCTTATTCCTATTTCTGTGTTTTCTCTTTTTGCTTTTTAATATTACTAGATTTTCCCCTCTTTACAACTTTTCTGGACTTAATGTGTAGGCGGCACTTTTATTGGGATATTTGTAGTTTGCCATAGATTTTTTAAAAACTTATTGAGTTATATGTACTTGGAATAAGTTAAAGGATCAAATATTGAACTTTGTTGGAATTTCAGTTTTGCTTTTACTTTTGGGATCTCCTGGACAAATTGTTTAAGGAAAAGGTCATTAAGGGACATTGGTTTACTTTTTTCTTGGGGCTAGATTTGCTAACAGCTTTGTATTTACTTACATATACTTTTTTTTGGTAATGGGAATTGAAACTCAGGACCTTGCACTTGTCAGGCCAGCGCTGTGCCACTGAGCTATATTCCCAGACCAGTTATATAGACTTTAAATATTAAATGCTTTCAGCTGAGGAAAAATAGTCAAACTGAATGTTCTCTTTGTGTTTAGGTTTGTGATGGCTTTGTGAAAAAATGTAGTTTCTCTTCTTTAAGTATTTTACCTTTTCTACTCTTATAATTTTATGACTTTGTGTTTATTTAATTCCCTACTCTGAGATTAAGACTGTGTCAATATTTAATGTTACTGAGACTCGTCTGAATTTTTAAACTACTTATGACTACAAGCATGGTCTTACTGTAGCCTACAATAAGAAGGAAACTTCCTTTAAAGAATACTCAAGGTTCAGTCAGAAATCATGTTTATTCTTTTTTTTTAAGTCATATAAAATACTTATTTTATTGAGGTTTTTTGGGTTGGGGAATTTGATCCATCTCCCCCGTATTGAGCCATTAATCTTGCCCCTCCTCAACATTAACTGGTTCATTTTCAGGATGCTGCTGATTGATCAGCTCTTTCTGCAGAGGTTCAAGAGAAAGCCTTTTTGAGAAGTGTGCGAGCTCCTTCTGAATGTTTACAAAAGCATTACTTACTGTGTGAACCTTTCCATCATTCACAATGTTTGTCTGCTTAAGAGCAGTGGTGACTGGTTTTGCTTTACTTTTAGACAAAGATTCTTTGTTGGCTATCTGAAATACTTGCTTGGACGTCTGCTCTCTTACTCTTGGCCATTGTCTTTGATATCTGTGTGCAGCTGCTCGAGCGCCAGGTGACAGCAATCTGCACGCACATAGTCCGGAAGGTCCACCATGTATATTCCTGCTTTGACTTTTGTCTCATTCATTGACCTAACATACCCGTGTTTGCTGACCACGACACACTCAAGGAGCGGGAGCTTCCCTTAGTAGGATGAAGAGTAATGCGGAGAGATTCCCAAGTGAGCGGGGTGCGTGCGTGAGCTCAGAACCTGCTGATGTGTCAGGTCCTTGTTAGACTCCAAAGCTCTACTTGCTATGAGCCAAAGGACCACTCTAAAATAAGTGAGGGGTGGCTGCTAACACTGTAAAGGGGTCCTAAGCTTTAAGTTTAAATTATAATTTGATTCTTAAAAATCAGACTCATAACTCTTAGGAAAATAATTTTGTATTTTCTATCCATTCTAAAGCAGTCTTGTGTGTATCCATATTTTATAAACTGACTGACCCATAAAGTAATGGGCTACCAAATTTGTATTGCCTCTGTATTTAATTTTTTTGTGTTCCTTTTATTTCCAGGTTTTATCTTACTACTTTCTTGTCACAGAGTTAAAGTGTAGCGTGACATCTCCAGAAAAAGTCTCATTTAAACTGATGACCTCGAGGGAAGGGTGGCAGGGAAGCTGCTCTACATTTGATTCTATTAGACAGCAAAAATCTGTGTTACTGTACTTTCCTTTGTCATATGCTAAACTTAGTTATTTAAAAACCCCAGTGATACTGATGAGAAAAAGCTGTCTGACCTATGAAAACATCCAATTCCAGCTTGATTCTCTTTGGGATTTTTACAGTGCTTGTCAATGGGTCTTTTTTTAATTTCAATTCTCATTATCTTTGTTAATGTGGGGACAGTCAATGGCAAGCATAATTCACGATAGTAGGTATGGTAATAGTTTGACTGAGATACATTTATTACTTGTGGTTTGAATGTGGATGATGATCTTTGTAATAAGAGTTCATGCCAGATTTCTTAGAAAGCTAAAAAGGATCCCTTTCTTCCAACTTATCATTTTAAAACTGTATTAAAAATGTGTATTACTTATCTCCCAATGTTTAGTTCTTTTTTTTTAATGTTTAGTTCTCTAAGCAAAATAGAAATATCTTTTAGTCAGTTAATTAATACCTTTGCTTTTTTCTTCAATTCCTGGAGAAATTAAAAATACAGCTTTTTTCCCTCTATGAATAAATAGTTACAGTACTTACAGTTACTAGTTTTTTAAACTTTTAAATGTACTTAATTATAAATTATTTTGATACTAAAATTCTGGATCAGTTCATGTATAGTTGTAACTTTATCATAATTTTGAATTATGACACCTTTTCTTTTTTATTTGTTAGATACACACAAACCCATGTTTTTATCAGTCTTCTGAGAACAGCCAGCTCTTACCAATGAAGAAAAATCTTTGGCACTGGTTGAATCCTGGAGATAGTTTTTCTTTGTTAGTTGACAGATATATTTTCCATGTTGTCTCCACACACTCTGAAATGGAACTAGAATGCACCTTAAGGTAAGGTCACCTCTTAAAATGAAGTAGTAATGGTAGTCTTTGTAATCTGATTCCTGAGCATTACAATGCTTTGATAGAAACCATCCTAGAATTAAACTCTGTTGGAGGTATAGTACCTGTGTGCGTGTGTGTACTTGCCCATATATGTTTCTAGAAAACATTTGACTTTAGAAACTTGTTATGCCTCAGGAGTAATTGTTCCCCTAAGTGTTATGTTTTACCTTTGTATTTTCTATCCAAAATAAAACCTAGGATAGTAATCAGGGTAATTAATTTGAAATTGACTATACTGTCCTCATTTAAAAACCCTTTAAATTTTTATTAAGATACTATTAATCTCTAAAAAAAGATACTATTAATCTCTGATGTAGACCATGTTTATATAACTTTTTATAAAAATAGCAGAAAGTATAGAATTGTAAATCTGTAGAAAATAATAAACATGTTGACTCTGGTGAAAATCTAAAATGCACACAGTAGTTTTTTGAGCCAGAAAACTTCAATATGATTTGATTTGTTTTAGATTTTAAATTATAGAATACATAAACTAGACCTGGATAAGTAGGTAGACAAAATTATGTATAGTATATTTTGTCATTGTAATGATATTTACATGGAAATCAGTAACATTAAAATACCTATAAAAAGCTCAGCATATTTTACAGTTAGCATATTTCTAAGTTAGTTTTGGGTCAAAGAGAATCACAAGGGAAATTAGGAAACATTTGGAAAAGACAAATATTGAAAACAACATAAAATTTGTGAGCAATAGATAAAGTAATATTTAGACTAAAATTTATGGCTGAATGCCTGTATTAGAAAAGAAGAAAGTTATAAATCAGTGACCTCTGCTGCTGCTTTAAGAAGACAGACACACACCTGGAAGACTGAAGCTGGCCCACATCCCTGAGCATGTGTACTAAAGTACAGTCAAAAGGGATCAAAAATGAAAACATTGCAGTAGAAACATTTAAGCTCCTGGAAGATAAAATAGATAAAACATTTGAAGTCATGGTTGTAGGCAAGGACTTTCTAAACGGAGCCATAGTTGCACAATAAATAATTGCAAGAATCAACAGACAGAATTCAGCAACAGTAACTTCTTATTTTGAATAAAATAGTAAGATGTTGACGAAAGTACCACTGTGTAGTGACAATAAAGAACTTTAAAACTTATAATTGTTTTTTACTAATACTATACTCTATTTTTTATTTTATGAAAAAATAAAATTTCAATACAAAGTAATAGTAACAATAGTTAATATATTGCATATTATTATCTTTAAAGTAATTACTCAGTGTACAAGATATGGCCGTAAAAAATTCTCCAAACCATATTAGCACAAATCTTTCTTGTCAGTGAACTAAGAGAAGCTAGTAGTATAACTCATAGTTTTTTTCTTTTTCCTTCCCTGCTTTCCCCTGTTCCCTACCTTAGTTTCTTTTTCCTTCTAAATAGTTTCTTCTTATTTCACAATATCTGTTACACATTTTGGACGTTAGTCTTTTAGTTTCTCACACCAGGGAGACAATCTGATGTTTACACATGAATCTGACTTATGTTACTTACAACTGTGGTCTCAGTTCATCCATTTGTCCATAAAAGTCTGAAGTTTATCTTTCTTTATGGCTGAGTAGTATTCCATTGCATAAAAAGACACTTTTTTTTTACTTCCTTAGTGTCTATCACCATGTACTAAACTAAAGTCAAAATGGATCAAATATTAAAACAGACACACTAAATCTACCGGAAGAGGAAATAGGTGAAGATATAAGTGTAGGCAGATGCTTCACAAATAAAATCCAGAGTGCACGGAAAATACTACAGAGTCAACAACTGGGATCTCATTTCATTAAAAAGCTTTTGCACAATGAGAGAAATCACCAACAGAGTTAAAAGACAACCCACAGACTGGGAAAGAATTTTAGCCAATTGTTGTTCAGACAAAGTCCTTATACCTAGAATATGTAAACACTTTTTAAAAATCGGACCCCTCCCCCAAATTTAAAGACCCAATCAAAAAATGGGAATCTGAGATGACTACACAGTTCTCAGATGAAGAAATACAAATGGCAAATAAATATATGAAAAATTTTGTTCAGCATCTTGGGTCATGAAATGCAAATTAAAGCATTGATATTAATAAATGCTGGAGAGAGGTGTGGAAAAAGGAACACTTCGCCACTGTTGGTGGGAGTGTGTACTGGTGCAACCACTGTGGAAATCAGTGTGGAGATTCCTTTAAAAACTAGGATTAGAGGTTCCACACAACCGAGCTATTCCCCTTGTGGGTATGTTCCTGGGAGAATGAAAAACATCACACCACAGTGATATATGTGCTCCTGTGTTTATAGCAGCGCAGTTTGTAATCGCTAAATCTTGGAAACAACCCAGATGCCCATGTATAATTATTTCTAAACTTATATTTAGACCTAGGTCATTAATATTAGTTTCATATTTTATACTAAAAATATAAAAATACAGCATGTTTAAACATTTGGAATATATGAAAAACCACAGTGAGAAAATAAAACACACTTCATATCTACTAGGATGCGTGTGATGAAAAAGATACTAACAAGTGTTGAAGGAGACTGGAAGTCACACATTGTAGTACTGTAAAACGGTGTAGCTTCCTCTGATTATATTCTGATAGTCCTCAGAATTTTACACATACAACGTAGAATGACTCTGTGGCCCAACAATTCCCCTCCTACATTTATACTCAAAAGATTGAAAATATTTGTCTGCAAATATCTTTTTTTAATTAGTACGTGTTTCTATACATGCTTACATTTACCTTGGAGGACCGTACCTGTAGAAAACACACTTACTGCTTTTGTCCTCTTCACCTCCCGTCTCTCCTTCTAGCACTTGATCCCCTTTTCATTTGCAAAAGCTTGTTTCCATTTCTTTCTTTCTCTTTTTTAATCCTATTTTCCTTGTTTCTCTCCACCTTCCCCTTTGGCAAAGTTCTTCCCACTTCCTATTAAATTTTATTTCTATTTTGGGTTTCTTCCATATAAGAGAAACCATGGAACATTTAAACTTGTGTATCTGATTTATTTTACTTAACATTATGGTCTCGAGATGCAAAATCTTATAGAAGGATGTCCACGTTATTGTTGTGGAAACAACCCAGATAGCCATCAGCTGCTGAATAGATAATCAAATATGAATGAATATTCCTAGAATCTAATAATATTCCTGCCATTGAATAGGACTCCTGCCATTGAAATTTAAGTCTGCCTTTGAAGGAGATTTTTGTTAGTATAAGAAATACTAAAACAAAATAAGCCATTAATTAGACTCCTTTCAGCTAGACACATTTCTAAAATCTTATATCTTCTGTACTTCAAAAATTCAGTTATTGAAGAATAATTTTCGCACAGAATTGACCCCTATCAAATGTACCACCTACTCACTTTGACAAACACATATGGTCATGTTAAGCACCAGTACAATGAAATATAGAACATTTCCAACCTCTGCAAAAGTTCCCTTATGCTTCTTCGTCCCCAACCCCCTGGAGATTATTGATCTGATTTCTGTTTTCGTAGCTTATCTTTTTAAGGATCTCATTTAAAGTGAAGTATACAATGTGCCTTTTTGTGATGACCTAACATCTTTGGATGATCCTGTTGTATTTTTCCGAGAGCATGAGATAATGGATTTTAAGAGTATGTTCCATGGATGCTTTTGTGCCAGAACATTGTGCCTCTAGTTGAACTACATTTGACATTTCACCAGTAGCAGTACTGATCAGAACTCTGGTAGCAGCTATTTATAAACCTGAATTTAGGATTTTAATTTTTTTTCTCTGGGGGCCTGTCGCTTAGCTGATGCTCTTACGTTAACATTTTTTCTTTAGATAGAGTTGAGATATGGGCAAATAAGCAAATAGCTCTTAGCCTTAAGAGGAAGGCATCTCTTGTAAACTACTATGGTTTCTATGCCCACGATTTGGAAAGATTAATGAATTTTATGGTGTCATGTGTAGCAGAAGATGAATATATTTTAGTATCTATATTTTATTCTACTATACTATCACTTGCTTTTTTATTTTTGTTAAGTTTGAGAAAAGGAACCCAATTCCCCAGTCAGATGTACTCCAATGACATTTACAGTGACATGGTTGCCAGTAGAAAGGATTTAAATGATTAAAAAAACCTTCTATTTTACTTTTTAGAAACAGTCAAATGCTTGATGACGATGACATACCGAATGAAGCACCCAAATCTCCTGTGATTGATTTACCTGACAGGAAAGCGGGTGCCTCACATCTGAAAACAACCACAGAAATAACTGCGACCCAGGCCACTACCACAAGTAGTTTGGTGAGAAATGTAAGATCTCATCCACTTATAACATATTCTTCAAGTTTTTTAAGACAAAGTCTTTCTACGTAGCTCAGGCTGGCCTTAAGCTGGCCGAGGTGATCCTCCTGCCTCTGCCTCCGGAGTGCTGTGATTACAGGGATAAGCCACCACACCTGGCTCTTCAACTTATTTTGAGTAGAGAAAAGACAACTAAAATTAGCACATCAAACAACATTGGTAGGATTGATCTGCTTTTCCTGTTTTTAGGTTAAGCAGTAGAGAAAATCATACTGGGCCCACACATCAACTAATACAATGAATTTCTGTAAGGCATAACTAATTCAATCCACAGTTTCAGATGGATATTTTGGTGATAGTTTTCTGCACAGTAAATAATTTTACAAATTCAGTAAACATGCATAGTTATCCTTAGAAATTTGTTTATTTATATGTACCTTTTTAGTCTTCTATAAATGAATGCAGAGGCCTGAGTAAACAGCTGTCAGAGCCTGCCCAGAGAAAAAGAATCCTTCCAGCATGGATGTTGCAAGATTTAAGTGATGAAAACCTTTTAGCACCTGTCATTAGTGGAGGTGAGTTTTCGTTTCTATTAATACTGACTTTCAGGAAAGCAAGCAGAATTAGAAAGTTTTCTTAAATAAATAGAGTAGTGGTTGTGTAAGGTATAGCTTACTGTAACAATTTTTAGTTGAATATATGAAACCTAATTTAAAGCATGTTTTGTGCCATTTATCAGACACATTATGATGATTGCATTGTCTTCTAATAATATGAAATGTATTAAAACAGATTTTCAAACAGTTTTGTTTGTGTCTTGACTAAGAGGCCAGAACGATATAAGTAATTAAAATTAATTCAATTACATTTGAAAAATGGCACACACAGGTTTTGTGTGTCAGAACTATGCCAGAACAGAAATTGTGACCTCTGTTCTGGTATGGTTTACTATCCTGGCAGACATTACAATGATTTTGTTTTCTGCTGAATAGTCCTGTTTTTTTTCAAAAGTTTAAAACATTTACTAATTATCTTTTTTAGACACAATCTCATTTATTGGGAAGTAACAAATTACTCAAGTTTAAAGAAGACTTTGTAAGGTTAGTCCAGGTATGAAGTGAGATCCAAATATATGTTGAATATTTAAATTAAAACTTTTTATTAAAGTAGAAGACATATTGTCATTAATCCCCCTCAGATATTCCCCTCACTTTAAAAATCTCTTTCCCGTCATTCTTGGCACTTTCTGAAGCATTCCTGGAAGTTCTTCCTGTCTGTGATCCATGCCTCTCTCCTCTGTTTCTCTCTCTGTGAAGCAGGGCCTGGTGGGTTCTGTTTCCCTAAGATTTTGCACATGGCTTTGGCTTCCCTAACTTCTGACAGTGGCCTCTTTTTTCTTTAAGCTTTCACTGCCAAAGTATTACTGGGCAGCTGCATCTCTCAATTCTAAATTACACGTAAGAGATCTATTTGGCCTACTTTAAGTCAGGTCTCCCTAGGTTCAGATTTTTTTATGTGGGTATTGTAAGAAAGGAAATAAAGGATACCTCATATATAAACAGAAGTTAATAAAAAACCTATGTAAGTAATTTAAAAAATTTTCCAGTTCTGCTGTATAAAATTACTTGTTTAAGTTTGTTTTCAACTGATGAAATACTATAATAATTATGTATATTTCTGGGGTACAATGTCACATTTTATTCTATGTATACATTATTAAAAATAGTCATTCAAGCTAACATATCCATCACCATATCAATTTACCATTTTTTGTGGAGAGCATATTAAAAATGTATTCTTTTAGTGATTTTGAAATACATGTACCTTATTCCTGTAGTCACCAGACAGTGCCATAGATCACTGAAACTTATTCCTTGAGCTTAACAGAAACTTGGTGCCCTTTCATGAACCCCTTCACTCTTCCCATCTCTCTCCCTCCTCCTCCTTTGTGTGAGATCCACTTTTTTAGATTTCTTTTTTTTTATTTTAAAGAAATTAAGACAAAATAGAACATAACAAAGCAGATCAGAACAGAACAATGTAAGCAACACAGTATTTCACCAGAAGACAACCCATAATTAACAGTAACTACCACAATGTCTCTTTCTTTGAAATAGTTGAGCATAATTTCATATACAATGGTATCAAACATAATAAAATAGTATAAAAGCATTCAAGAGAATGAGAGTATTACAGGGCTTTCAGAACCAAATAACAGAAAACGAACAACGGCTACTATATTATCTCATTTTCCATAGAAAATTTGTTCATACTTTCACACATAATACAATCCAATAAGGTACAACATGATAGAGCCAATGGAAACAGAAGAGCAAAAGCACGGTAGGACATCAGAGTAAGATGATATTAAGTCAGCACTGGCTAGTGTAATGACTTGTTTTCTTCAAAATAGCTGTTCATACCATCACAGATAATAAAATCAAACAAACCAGGATAAACCCATTCCAACTAATGAGCGCAATCATTATAAGGCTTCAAAGCAATGTAATGGGGAATCATGATTACCATAAACTCTTCTGTACTCTTACTATTTCTTACACTAGGGAGACTATATGGTATTTATACATGTGAGTTTGATTTGTTTCGCTTATGAGTATGGTCTCAAGTTGCATCTATTTATTAGTAAATATCTGAATGTGATCATTCTTTATAGCTGAGTACTACTACATTGTATAAAAATACTACAACTTTTTATCCTCAGTCGATGGACACTTAGGTTGTTTCCAAGATCTGGCAATTACAAATTGTGCTGCTATAAACATGGGTGCACATATATCACTGAGGTATGATGTTCTCAGTCTTCTGGGAATATGCCTAGAAGTGGAATAGCTGGGTCGAATGGGACTTCCAATCCCAGCTTTTTGAGGAATCTCCAGACTGACCTCCACAGTGGTTGCACCAGTCTACACTCCCAATTTTTTTAGATTTCACATGTAAGATTAAGATTAACTGGTGAACTGGGTTTCTAATTACAAACATATTATGCTTCTTGATTTTGTCCCAGTAATGTTATATCTGTTTGTTTTCCTTTAATCTTTAGCTTTCTAGTTTTCTCTCTTCCTTAGGATATTTTTTGTATATGTTTTGAAGTTTCTTTTTCTGTTATTATTGTTAAGCCTATCTAGTGAAGATTTTATAGTATTTCTGTTATGTACTCTGCAGTTCTAAAATTTTCTTTTTTTCAATAATTTCTCTTTAATGAGCATCTCCACTTATGAAATTATTTATACATGTGTTAATGTGTATGTCTATATGACACTTCAGTTATCTCAGTTAATTTCTATTAACTTTTTATGTGGATCACATTTTCTTGTGTATTCTATGTCTAGTGATTTTCTAATGAATAGTGGATGTTACATATGGTGTATTATAGATGCCCTTGATTTTATATTTCTCTGAAGAAATATTTTTATTCCAATAGATAATTAATTTGATGCGGAATTTAGGAGCAGACCAAATGGAGACATGGCACAAGAGGAACTTTAGAAGGCAGCTTTATTACCGTAGCAGGCCGATGGGACTCTCAGTTCCAAGTTATCAGCAGTGATTGGAGTTTTTCAGTCACTTGTATATGTTTTCAAAAGGAAGTTTCCAAAGGCAGATAGCACAATATCCTATGATTGGTTGCACATGTCTTTGTCATTAATTGCTGGCAGAATCTACTCCTACAGAAAGAGCCACTAAAAGAGGTTACTATTGTACAACATAGAGAACGAATCCATCATTGTTTGAGAACAGGCAGAGATGTCCTTATAGTGATAATGCTCCGGGACTTGGAAGCAAGAGAAACATTGCTTCCTGACTGAGCTACCTTGTCTTGCAGTTGGCACTGGACTGTCAAAGCTTGTCATGTTCGTAGCCTTCTAACCAGAGAACAGGCTGTGTCTCCCGGGCTCATCTTTGCAGTGTTAGAAGTGATTAGTACTAAACATACAAGTTTTTAAATTTTCTCTGCATTAAAACAGCTTCTACAAATTAAATTACTTAATTTAATGAAACCTTAATCTGTTTTCTCTGTTGTACATAACAACTTACAGTCTCAGCTTAGTTCTTTCCATTTATAGTATGACTTTTTCCTGAGTTCCTGAGGTTTCCTTTATGAGCATGTAGGTTAGCAATCAGCCAAGGATTTGGTCTGATTTTGTATGTAGGTTTGGGTTCTTGCCCCTTGCGAGCTTCCCTTCCAGGATTTATGTCTAATTTTTGGCTTTTTGGTTACCCTCACACACTGTCTGCTGACCATTTAAAGCTGTAGCTGTCTGCCACCCGTGCGTGTTGGAGAATGCCTGCAGGAAGCAACCGCAGGCTCACAACCCTCACAGGGTGGACTTCGTTTGTCAGGCATGAACTCTTCTACCTCTGCTCTTGTTCATAGTTATACTTCATTTTTCACACATCAATTCTTCCACCTCTATGTTTTGTCTTCAGATAGTTGCTTTTAAAATATTTTGTCCTCAATTTATAATGAGACAATTACATCAAGATATTTGACCGTGTTATGCTAAACATTATATTTTATAAATTAACAGTCAAAATGAATGCATGTTTTAGTTCAAATGTCACTATCCTTAATGATTTTGATATTTATATAATTCACCTAAGAATATTCTGGTAAAGTAGGAGATACAATATGTGTTAAAGGGAATACGGGTTAATTTGGAGAATAAACTTGAGTTATCTACTTAGGGGATTATTTCAGCATAAATTAACAGGTTGTTTGCATGCAAAGGGCAATTTAACTTAGAGGAAAGTAACAGACTAGAAAACAATATTCTAAGAGATATTACCTGCCACACATAGAAAAGATTAAAGATTTTTTAATTTTTTTAGAGCTTTTTAAAAATTGTGTACTGAGTAACACAAAAGATTGTGTTCAGTAAAATTTTTGGATGTTGTAGGTGATGTGTTACAGAAACAAAGTACAAGTAGTTAAAAAAATAGCTCTACTGTCATACAGGAAAGTTTAAATTGAAATAATCAGTTACTATTTTTTGTATGCTAACTCACAAAAGTTAAGCAATTGATAAGAACTAGTCCTGAGAAAAGTGGGTATTGTTGACTGTTGTTGGTAGAAGTGTAATATAATATTTTAAAGCTGTTTGTCAGAATCTATTAAATGTTTTAATATACAGCACACATTGATCCATAAATTACACTTCTAGGTATTCAACACTTAGAAAAAACAGCATTTATATTTTTATGCCTATAACATGTTTAATAAACATATTGGCAAATATATTTGCTTAAACTTAGGAAAAGCTGAGGATGCAGCTGAGGATGAGGGTTAGTTTCTCTGGAGAGTAAGATGATGACTGTACTGCATTTTAATGCTGCTTGTACATAGAATTGAGCTCCACTGTCAGCTCGTGGCTATCACTTGTATCATAGCAGCTCGTGTAAGTACGGTGGTAGTAGTTAAAAATAAACTGACTTATACTACTAGTTAATTTCTTTTATATTTGTCATTTAACTTTACTTATGCTGGTTTTAGAAAAAACTGATACCCTAGATGTAAAACTTTTGAGCCAATTCAACTATTTATTTTATGTATACGTGATGAAGAACACTTTAACAACATCAGAATGGCTTCATTCTTTATAAAAAGAAATGTTACCTTTGGTCTTTAAAAGGAATATTTCTAGGGGATAATTTGGAGTTTTGAATAGCTACTTCAAATATGTACATTTAACTTTAGACTTTTAGTACACATGTGACACTTGGAATGTGATAAAGTACCATTTGGACAGAAGATGTGTCTTATTTAATTTACACTTTATACTTCTCAGCATAGTAAATAATATAAGTGGTTCATAATTTTACTTAGTTTGATTGATTTGTAACTGTTGTTGCATTTGGTCATTTATTGCAGTGAGCTGTCCAGTCCTATTAGTTTTATTCCTGCCAGTTTCCAAAAAGGATATGAAATGCTTTTAATTTAGATTCACAATGAATATTTAAGTAATTTAGGCAAAGTTTAGTTTGTAGAATAGTTTGTTCATAAGTTTTTCTGATAAGTACAACAGCTCCCTTGTACGTAAAGGGACTATATTTCAAGACACTGGTGGACATGTTTAACTACAGATGGTACCAAACCCTATGTATAATATTTTATCCTGTATAAACATACATACATACATTCCTGTATGGTAAAGTTTAATTTATAGATTAGGCACAGTAAGGGATTAGTAACAATAACTCATAATAGAATAATTATTTTGTAATAAAAGTGATATGAAGTGATATGTCTCACAATACGTTATGTTTCACTTTTTCTTGTAAAGGAGATAGTTTGTGGCTTCTCTTTGGCATATCCAAATTGCCAGCGTTACTATTCTTATGCTTTGAGGCTATTATTAAGTAAAATAAGGGTTACTTGAACACAAGCATTGAGAAAGCACAACAGTTGATCTGATAATCAGGAGAGCTATTAAGTGACTGACAATATATATAGTGCAGATACTCTGGACAAAAGGATGGTTCACGTTCACGGGGGAGATGTCGGGCGGTGCGAGATTTTATCATGCTACTCAGAGCACCACGCAATTTACAGTGTATGAATTATTTATCTTTTGAATTTTCTATAGTTGACTGGGCAAATGAAAATGGAAATGAAATTATGGATAAAAGGAGAGTGCTGTGTTGTTTTTTATTGGTTCAGTTGGTATTCCTCTTTGATATAACATGGACAGTATTACACTGGCATTTGTTTTTGAACTTGAAGGATTATTATTTGAATATCATGTGGAACAAGCCAAGTAAACTATAGTCGATAGGCCAACTTTGTCCACTGCCAAATTTGGTAAATAAAGTTGTATTGGAGTATAACCTTCTTCATCCAAGTATGTTTTTCCAGTGACTCCCCATGTTACAAAGGAGATTGAGGGTTGTAGTAGACACTACACAGCCCACAAAGCCTTGAATAGCTACTTGAATAGTATACTTTTCACTTTCTCAGAAAAAGTTTCCTAACTCCTACTAGAGAACATTAAAATATTTGCCTGTCTTTCTCTCAGGGATCCTTTCAATAAAGTTTGTTGATATTCACATTTCATTTACTCAGTAGTATTTATCGAATATCAGTTTTGTATTAGGCAGATTTGTAGGTACTGAAGATGTAGGAGAAAATAGTGAACAAGGCACATGGAATCTTTTCTTTCATGGCGATGCCATTTTAATGGAAAGGAGACCACCAGCTATGAATATTTTCCTCTTAAAACAAGTAGGTCTTTTTTCCTGATAGGAAGGCTCATTAAATTTGTTAATATGATACTGAGAGATTTACCAACTGTGCTGAACTTTGGATGAGTATAGGTGATGTAATGTCCATTATTATCAAGGCTCATTTTCTTCATCATTAAAGTTGGTAAAGGTCATCCTTTTTCATTATTTTGGGCTCTTATCTACATTTAAAATAATTTAAATTGGATTCCTCAATGTACTTGTTAAGGGTTCAGTAATCAGGAAGAGCGATAAAGTGTATTGGGTTGCTCTGTGTCAGATTTTTTTAAAAGAAATTTAATGGTACAATTAAAATCTTTGTAATGTGTCCCTCTATTAGATGGTTTACATACCTTATCTCGTATACTTCTAGTACATCCAAGAGTTCCAGCTTTGTAGTGTAAACCAAAATTTAGCAAGATGAGACAAAACAGTTAAAACATGGAGCTCCCATTGGCATTTTGGCCTGGCAAACTGGGGGGCTGAAGCTCGTGGTGGTTTGCTGCTTAATGCTTTTTGAGATTTGTAAATGACCTGTTTTCAAGTTAGCATTAATATGAGTGAAACTTTAATTTTAATTTTACTTTTTTAGTTTTTTATTTTTGATATGGGATTTTAATATTTGAAGATACAGATGATAATTTTGTTTTTCTTCATATGTGTGTGTTTGTGTGTTCTTAAGATAACAGCATAATCCAGGGAAGTGGGAAAGAAGGAATCTGCAAAGAAAAAACTCAGAAAAACATAACACAGCAAGGAAGAAAGCGAATTTCATCAGGAAATTCAGAAAGTGTAACTGGTGGACAAGATGCAGGAAAAAAGTGCAAAGATACTGCTCAAGAGGACTCTGATGTTTCATCCAAGGTGATTTTTAGTTCATCATTTGATTGTTTTATCAAATGTTTTAGGTAGGAATTAATTATATATTGCATACATTAAGGAGACCAAAACTGTGATTTGTTAATGAGTTTATGAAGATAAAAACCAGTTTACATAAGCTAATCTTTACTATATGGATTAGTATTTGCATTTCAGAAAACAATGCCATTAACTTTAGAAATTTTAAGACTGAAAAAAATGGTGATCTCTTTCCTTTTGTCATAATTTGTCAAATTTGTCACCTTTATTCTGAAAATCTCTCTGCTTCTATTCAATTGGTCATTTAAGGACTACATTACCATGTTTTTCTTGCTAAGTATGAAGAGAACAAATGATGGATAAGTTCTTAATAATTGGTTGCAAGATCACTTTTGTAGTGATCCTACTAGTATTCATAGCTCTTTCCTTTCTTCTTTCAGGTGTTACTACCTCTCTAGAATGATTGGTGTTTCCTAACATTGGATATTTAAAGAAAATGAGACCTTTTTGTTGTTCTCCAGAAAGATGGTTGAAAGTGATAGTTTTCATAACCCTTGTGTCTTAGTTACTTTATGCTCGTCGCTGAGACAAAATACCTGAAGCCCAAAGTTGGGAAAGGAAAGTTTCATTTCTTACAGTTTTTGGAGGTTTCAGTCCACACTCAGTCGGCTCCAAGACAGGCAGGCATGGCTGGGCTGCAGTTCATGGCGGCCGCCAACAGCAAACTCCAACCAGCAAAGAGGAAAACACACCTTCTTCCTGCCATTACATCACATCCTGGCTCCACCCCTATGTGGGTGGAGCACTGACACCATCAATCCAAGCACTATACAATGAACCATCACATATGAACAATGCAAACTCATGAGGCCTGGGGGAAATAAACATAAACCATGACACCTTGTTAGACCATTGGCTGAGGTTTGTAAGTTCCCTTTCTTTTTAGTCTTAGGAAGAGTCAAAGGCCTAGGGTGTTGGTCCAAGATACTCAAGATATTTGTGATGTTTTGATGATACCGTGGAAGTGTGTACAGTCAGGTCCTAGGAAAGCCTAAGCTGTTCTTGGCTGATTGCTTTTTATTCTGGCTTCTGTCTAGATGTCTCCCAGAGCCTCATGCAGTCATATGTGGGGCTTTTCAGAGTTGGCTAAATCTAAAATGTGTGATTCGGGGTTAAGTATGTGATGCTGAGATAAGCGTGATGACTAAACTGGTCCACTGATGGGTCTGGCATCGTTCTAGGTGCGGATAATGTGAAGGCTCGCCTTGGGGGGAGTGGTCATCACTCTTGAGGGCACGCACCTGGATAGAACACACGGCCCCGAGCAGGGCTGCTGTCGTTCTTTGCTGCTTGTCGCTCACTTTTTGCTGCTTTTGTTACCTTCTGCCTGCCATGAGCTTTTTCTCCTCTGTGATGCCCCTCTGCCCTGCCTCCCTGCATTGGAGCCAGCCAGCTATTATCTGAAACTGTTATAAACTGTGATCCAAACTAAAATTTCCTCCTTTAACTTGGGTGTTGGATATTTTGTCTTAGCAATGAGAAAATGTCACTAAGACCCTTTCTTAGGGCTTCTATGCCACATTTACCTCTTGTAGCTCAGGAGAAGCAGAATTGAAGCTTTTATGGCCCTTTATGCAGGTCTTCTTGGTATTGTCAGGGGCAAGACTGAGGCTGACCTGAGAAGGGCCTTTCCACAGTTCTCCATCCATCTCTGCTCAGATTCAGTCTCTGTCTTAACTCTGGAAAAAAAGCTGGTCCTCAAGAGATGGCTAAGATGCAGAACATGTGTGTGTGAAAATTAAATGTGAGAGGATACGGTAGGTTGGGCTCATCATCTATCTGGTCTGATAGCAGGAGGTTACCATTTACAAAGAACTCAGAACAGTTTGGCAAGGCCTGCAGAGTAGACTTGGGTCAGTTTACATAGAATCAATTATATATTCTTAGGGAAGAGTAAGAAAAGAAGTCCCAAGTAGAGACAGAAATCGTCTTCTGTCATTAGGCTCTCTTTTGACTCTTGCTCTGTGAGTCTTTTGTATCCATAGTTTCTCAAATAAACTCTCCCATTTTAATGTGCCTTCAAAGTTGAGAACTACTAACGGTATAGTTTATGGTGCCTTTGAGGAAAATGAGGCCCGAGATTACTAGGAGCCTTAAGCCTCTAATCTGAGTCTTTTCATTTTGGGTATAATTGATTTTTCAACAATGTATATTAGATTATGTGCAAGAGTTTTGTGACTCCAGTAACTTTTCTACATGAAGATAATTACTTTGAAGTAGTTACTTTTCCTCTTTTTTATGTTTTTCTGCAACTCTTTACAGTTATGCATTGTCTAATTTAGGAATAAAAATGAAGGCTCATGAATTGACTCTCAAACAGGATAGTTGCTGTGGTTTAAATGCTTTTGTCCTCTAAAGATTCATGTTAAAACTTAATCCTCAATACAACCATGTCGGGAGGTGATTCACTCCACAGGATACCTTGTGCGCACACTCCTGTGAGTGTGTTAAGGCCACTCTGACGTGGGCTTGCCAGAGTGAGTTTGCTCCTTTTGCTTCTCTGCTGTGTGAGGGCACAGTATTCTTTCCCTCTTGCCTTTCACCTTCTGTCAGTGAAGAGACAGTAAAAAAGGCGCACACCAGATGCCAGCACCTTGATCTTGGGCTTCCCACATTCCAGGGCTGTGAAAGAATAAATTTCTGCTCTTTATAAATGACTGAGTTTGTGGTATTCTGTCATAACAGCACAAAATGGACCAAGACAAGGGTGTTTCTATTGATAATCTAATTAGAAGTCTACTGCAAATGACAGAAGGGACCCTGACACAACTAAAGCATAATGGTTTTTGTGAAAAGTATCCATGTCTGTTGCCAGCAGAACATTTAGTGGCTTAACCCAATAATGATTTATTATTTCTCTCAATTGCATGCATCACATGGGCTCATTTGCTTTTGATGTCAGCTGGGATTCATTTAACTCCTCTAGTACCACGTGCTTTTGGTGTCAGCTGGATTAATTTCGCTCCACTGGCTAGATGCAGTAATGGTAAATCTTTCAGAGCTTTCAGTGATATAAACAGTCATTGTGCCAAAGGATCAACTCTACTGCCTAAAGCATTCAAGATGGCTTCAGTCATGACTGGTGCTTCAGCAAGGGCTGATGGAGTAACTGAGATCTGCGTGGTTTTGCTCCCTCCATGTACCGTTCACTGATCTAGACACAGCCTTAACCAGGCAGCTGAATCCCGAAAGGAGGCAAATAGCTGCTTGCAGATCTTTTAAGGCCTAGGACTGGAACTGGTGTAGTGTTACTTCTACTACATTCGCGTGATTTGAACAAGTTACCAGGTTCCAAGTAAATAGGACAGCAGGTAGAAGAGCAAAGAAGATAAAAATAGGAGTTGAAAATTCCTAATCCAAAAATTCAAAATATCTCCCCTAAACCCCTACCAGAAACTATCACAACAACAGCAGCAACAGCAAAACAACCATCTGAAATCTGAAATGCTTTTGATCTCAAGCATTTTGAGTAAGTTATGACACTGAAACAGTCAAGGAATAAAGGGCATCTGGGCTGGGACTGTAACTAAGGATAGTGAGGAACCATTGGATTAGAAAAATACCTAAGAAGTAAAACTATAGCACTTTTCTCTCAGATCTGGAGAACATGAGGGAAAGAAGGAAAGACAGACTTCCAAATTTCCAGGAAGGACGAATGTATATATTGTGTTGGTAGAAACTATGGTAGAGAGCACAAAGACAGTATTTCAGTTTTGATGTTTAAGATTGAGGTGCATAGAATATTGAGGAAGAAATTCTTACATAGTGCTTCAATATGTGAACATGAACCTTCAAGAATGAAATTGTGGCCTGAAATCTGGGTTCTTTTAGTCAGTATCATGTAAATTTTGATGGCATTATTGCAGGACTTTTAAGGTAGTTTAGCCCAGGCATTCTTGCCAAGGGCAGCTTAGAAACAATAACGGATTATTTCACTGAGTTTATATTAAAGAGAAATTCTTTATCCTGTGGTTGTAGAACATTAAAACTTCAGATGGTTGAGGTGTTGGAGAGGACTTGTTGGGCAAGACCATTCTAGCTATCTCCAAGGTCACTTCTCACCAGCTACATGGCCCTTGGTCCCTGAGCTCCCTAATGTTACTTACCAGGAAGCTGGGCCATAACACCTAGCTTCCTAACACTAAAAGGAACTGTCAATACAATTCAGATTTTTGTATTTTGATGAAATATTTCAGACAATATTTCACATGTCATTTTTAGAGTCTAGGTGGACTTTATTGCAAAATTACAGATCTTCAAGTGTGTGTGAGAAAGAGAATACCAAGCATAAAGTTGAGGAAGTACCAAAACAGCAGTTACACTGAATGAGGCCTCAGGTTACATTTATGTGATCAACTGAGTTTTTCAAGGAATAGCTCATTTTTTTGGAAGTCATTTTTCTTTTACAAATAAAATGGGCTGTGTTTGCCTGCTTCAGAGGAAGTAGATCCTCATTCGCTCCTGTTATTTACTCCCAAAGCCTCTGGCAGTCGTAGTTTTTTTGGACATGGCTGAATCTAGAGTATATTATTGATTTGTAATGCAATGCTGAGACTAAGGGTGAATTGCTGGGTCAGTCCATTGTTTAGATTGGCACTGCCCTAGTCCTAGGTAGGCTGGTTACAATATAAGGGACAGAAAGAGGCTTGTCTTTCCTTTAGGATTGCTTTTTCTGTCTTCCGCTGTCATGAACTGTTGCCCCTCTGCCATATGCCACCCTGCTTTGGAGCAAGCCGATTATGGACTGAAACCTCCACAAACTGTGAAAAATAAGCTTTTCCTCTTTTAACTTTGGGTATCAGGTATTTTGTTTCAGCAAAGAGAAAAGTAACTAAGTCAACTCCTTAGATATCTCTGTTCTGAGACTGTGACCATCCCTTAATCCATGATCTGGACTATGCATGGGCCTTATCAACATGCTCAGAAAATGTTAGTTTTTGAACTAAAGTTTGAAAGATTGTATGAATCTTATATGTAGCTAATGACTTAAGAAAGTGAAGGGAGAAAAATGTTTTCTTTGCTTTTTGAATCTGCCTGTCTCCTGGGTTTCTAATAACTTTCTGCCTAACATATAACATGTTGTTATGGTTTAGATCCAAAATGACCCCCAAAACCTCTTGTGTTTAGAAGGTGATCATGTGAGTACTGTACCTGAGTGGCTGTTAGGAGGTGGTATCTCATCTAAAGAGCAGGATTCTGGGGGAGTGACCTGGTAGCGCATAGCTCTCTTCCTGATACTTCCCTTTACTTCCTGCTTCCTGGCTGCCATGAATTGAGTAGCTTTCCTTCCCTAGACCATTCTGCCATGCCTTCCTGCCTTGAAGGCTGCAAACGAAATAAACCTGTCTTCCTTGATTGTGGTTGTTAGGTAATTTGTCCCAGTGGTGAGAAAATAAGTCATGTAGTTTTATATTGTGGGAAATGTGGCCACTCCGTCATGAATCTTCATCTTTCCACTAAATCCTTGACATTTTCATTTAGTCTTAAGAAATAATCAATGTGCAAGAAAAAAAGTGGAGTGGTTTTTCCTTCACTTGCCGTAGTTTTCCCTCTTACCGTTCAGACTTGCTGTAGGTCATGAGCTTTGTGACGGGCACACTGAATTTATGTCTCAGCAAACTGACAAATCACTGGATGTAATGGATTTGGGGGATCATTTATAAATAATTAAAATAATGAATTTTAAATTCTTGAATGCCAAGGGCCTACTCTATAGCAGTGTTTCATGGAGTTCCATAAAGAACATTGTAAATTCCAGCTTTTGTGACTCTTAAAATACATTTGAGAACTCCTGATCCATAGTACTGTAATGATACGTGACTTTAACATTTCTTGCTCTTTGAAAATAACACACTAAACATATTCCTTGTGAAGATTTAAAGTTTTTTTAAAATAAGACAAATTCTTTTTATTTTATGCAAGTAGAGTGAGTTGAACTGTGATGGTATATATTTCATTTCTTTTCTTTGGTTTTTCTTTCTTTTTTATTGTTTCTGTGGGTTGAACCCCAGATGTGATGCATGCTAGGCTGGCACTCTACAAATGAACTACATTCCCAGCCTAGTTTTTAGTTTTAAAATAACATAATAATGTATGTTCATTGTCAAAAGTAAAATACTCAGAAGCATGTGGAATAAAAAGTGAGAACTTGCCTTATCCCTTGATCTCACATCATTTATAAAGCTGTTCTTTTGGATTTACACAAGTAGATGTAAATATATCAGGCATTTTTTAAAAAGATAAGTGGTGTCAGAGTATAATTCTTGTTCTTGTTTAGTTAAAAAAAATCCTTAGATATGTCATTATTATTTCAGTGTCTACATGCTTCTTAATAAGAATGTATTCTAATTTTTTAACTGCTTTTAAAAGTTTATCTGATTTTCCTTTTCTACAGTAAATATGACAGGTTTTTTTTTAAATCGGTACCGGGGATTGAACTCACGACCGCCTGCTTGCAAGGCAGGTGCTTACGTCGCTGGCTAAATCCCCAGCCCCAAAATGACAGGTTTTTGAGTAGGATTTTTTCTGTGTTTTTAGTACTGAGTCCACATGCTGAGAATAACAGTACTAAACATAGGTACTGGCAAGGCTGGTCCTAATACCATGAGAAACCATGGGAACTCCTTCGTTGTTGTGTGTTCAAGGAAAGAATTCAGGAAAGACATGTGAGCAGCTGTATAAAGTATAGGTAGAGTTTGTGTTAGATTTTCAGAACAGTAGACATGAAAGTAGGTAAGTGTCAACATGACTTAAGGTTCAGCTATATTGTATGATTATATTAATCTTCAAGGAATATCGTTTCTTTCCTGCAAGATCATTTTTCTTTTACAAAGAAAATGGAGCTGTTTTGACCAACTTCAGGGAGAAGAAGGTTCCTACTTACTCCCTAGATGAGCTGTTTGAATTTAGTTTTGAGACCTTGAGATATTTTTTAAACCCTAATTTATGATCTGGACTTCTGAATTTTATATAGCCCTGTACCTTATCAGCATGCTCAGAAGGGTTACATTCTCTAGGGGTATAGCTTGAAACCATAACCTCGTTTGGATTTATCTACAGCTAATGACTAAGAAAATGGAGGAAAGGGGAAACAGTATCTCGTGTCTCTTTTTTATGTAGCCTCCAGGTGCTTAACTCCAGGCCTGCTAACATCAAACTTCCTGCCCACCAGTATCCCATGTTTGAAAGGAGGGCCATCGCCCATCTTCCTCAACTGTGAGAACCAAGTCTATAGAGCTTATTGAAAGATTTGAGAAGTGTTTACCATTCCATCTCCAGGCTTTAGACAAAAAGAACCAAGGAGTCATGATGTTAGTGTAGAGGAGATCAGTATTTGTAAAGAATACTACTTCCTCTCGTTCTAAAATGAGGAACAGCTGTTAAAGAGAATTACTTGTGAGTTTGAAAACGCCAACAGGAACAGAAAACGTGTTTTATGCTAGTAGATTTACTGATCTACCCATGGCTGAACTGGAAAAAGGAAAACTAAGAGCTGTGCCAGTAGGGAACTGTCAAGTGGGCGGCAGGTCAGGCTTGCTCATTTCCCTTCTAGAGCTCCAGTTGCTGGTGTGTGCCAGGGGTCCCTCCAGTGGAGGACAGTGAGCCTGGGGTGTAGTTGAGCATCTTGGAAGCAGAGTGTATGGTTCTGGATTTGGCATGAATGCCACCAGAGGCCAAGGGTAAGCTCCAAGAGACAGCCAAATGAGTACTTTTTCTGTAGTTTATCTGTTATTATATAGAATCAAGACCTAGATTCCATTTATAGGGTTATTAATCAGTTTGAGTATTTTGATGTCATGTGCTGTTTTTTAAAAATTAGATAATTAGTTTAAAAGAAGTTATTTTAATAATATCTTCAGAAATTTGAGCTATTTTATAAGTAACATCAAAACTAGCCCTTTCCAGCAGGCAGCCAACATATAAATCATTACTTAAAATGGAAGTGAACGTCCGTGTGCATCTGGTGTGCTATCATCATGTCCTAGACATGGTTACCAGTAGGACTGCTGTTTATCTGAGAAGTTTCTACTCTGCAAGAAATAGAAGTCATTAAGAGCTCATTTTTAACAAGACTAGTCTTACTATTTATGCTGGTGATAAGTGGAAATTAAACAGATTCTACAGTGTTAATGAGAATCTTTATTTGGTTTAAAGCACCTAATCCTGTTAAGCAGAAACTTTTATTTAAACCATTTCAAAAGAAACATGCTTTGTTTTTCAAATTGATCACATTCTACCTTCATGAAAATTTTTTATCAGCATGGAATAGTTTTGTCATTCAACTATAGGGAAAAATCGCAATTATATTTAGAGGTTAGTATATTTCATTAATGTATAAGAAATTATAAGGTCAGTACATAGTAAGAGCATGATGAATTGTTGAACATTAAAATTTAAGAGCTGTTTTGAGGAGAGATTGTGTTCAAATGAAATCACATTTTAACTTATGTTTGTGTATATTTCTTCTTGATATTTTTTCAGTGAATGACATGATTGTAAAGGTTTATTACAACTGTAAATATAATTTATAATAACTGCAAATTGTTTTAAAACTAGGGACAGAGAAAATAGTGGTATTTTTCAATAACTAAAATGTGAATCTTGAAGCTTTAAAAATTTATACTCCATGGATCTTGTATTTTCACTCATGCTTAAAAGTATGTATATTTTAAAAACATTTCATTTATTTTTCATTTTTATAGGAAATGTCACAGTCATTTTCTGCAACCACATTAAGTAATCCAGATATGCATACTTTGAAGATTAATACACAGAGAAATGAAATTCCAGTAGTGAAGCTTGGTAAGATTTCTGAGCATAAAAACATGACTGAAGGAACTCTAAATAAAGAAGACAAGGCAGGAAGCTTTCCTGAGACTTCTTCTAGTGTCCAAGGCAAGTTATTCCACAGCGAGTCTCAGAGATCTCATCCTAAGTCCAACTGTGAACCTTCCAGTTCTGAAACTTTGCAGGCAAAGGCATCTGATTCACTTCTACCAAGTTCACAAGAGAACAAGATCAAGAGGTCCTCCTGCATGTATGGAGCAAACTGCTACAGGTAAAATGAAATTACGAGTAGCATATAATTCCATTATTTCAACAACATGTAGCTGAGTATATAAAACCTGGAGCGTATTAAAAGCACCTAATAAAGTCCTATTGGCCTACATGTTAGGAGCTTTACCATGTTTTTCCTGGCTTGTACTTTCTCAGTATAGATTCTAGCAAATCTTGCCAGATGCTTTTAAGATGCAATGGGGAATTAAATGTTTTATATGTAGACATGCTGACTAATGAAAGGATGTGCATACTGTAGAATCCAGACTTCAAAATTGAATCACTCAGACTTAAATACCTGCGTATTTAATGTCCTAACATTAGAACAAAGTTTTCATAAGGAGTTGTATAGTCTAAAACTTAGGTACATTTAGATTGTGTTTAGGTAGCTTATTATATTTCTGTGTTGCCTGTTTTTGTAGTGGTACTTTGAATAACCATCGTATCTTCTAAAATAACTGACTAAATACTTTAGTGGCACATTTTGGTAGTTTGTTGATTATGCATAAATGGTGTTATTTACATCACATACTTTGATAATTTTACATTCACATTTTTTCTCTTTTAAAATGCATTATCATCTTAGTGCTTGACATACCATATTTTTCAATTTTAACAGTTCTAATTGTTGCATTTATGCCCAATTATGTCTGTTTGCAATAGCCTTAGTACATTTGGAACATAAAATAAAAACCTGCAGAATGAAAGTATATAAACTTTTATTACTTTTGATTTTTAATATGACAGACTGGGTGGATTAAACAGCACAATTGTATTTTCTCATAGTTCTGAAGGCTGAAATTCCTTGATTAAAGTGGTGACATGTTGATTTCTCCTGAGACCTCTGTTACTGACTTAAAAATGCGAACTTTTTCATGGTGTCCTCATGTAGTCTTTTGCCTGCTTAGTACCTCCCTAGTAGCTCTTTCTCATTGCATAAGGCTACCAGTTTTATTGGATTAGGGTCTACTCTATGACCTCATTTTCTCTTTTTGTTTATTTCTTTGGTTAATTGAGACAAAGTCTCTGTATGTCATGCTGGCCTTGAGCTTATAACAATCTTCTGCCTCTCAAGTGCTGGGATTACAGGATTACACCACACCCAGCTTCATTTAATCTTAATTATTTTTTTAAAAGCAATCTAAATATAGGGGATTAGAGCTTCAACGTAAGAATCTTTTGGGGGACACAATTCAGTCCCGGGTAGTATTGAGTACTAACATTTATCTTTGTTAAAAGGTCATTAAATGTTTTACCAAGCTCATATTCATTCATATTTGATAAAGATACATGTTAGTGTAAATCAGTCCTGATTATAAATACTTTAATTTTCCCTAATTTGGTGTACATAATTATGACCTGAAAAACTATTTAACACCTAAATCTTGAAAATAAATTATTTATATTTATAACAAAAGGGGAAATGACATATTGATTTCTTGTTATGTATGAACATTTTAAAAATAACTTTCTTTTCAATGCTACTGCTTTAGTTCATACTGATGTCCTTTTGGGACAAGTGAAGAATTACCTGTCTCCATACTTTCCCCCAAGTTTACTTCCTTTTTCTTGCCTCAGTGATTTGGCTAAGGAAAACAAAAATGAAAATGAAGGGTGGAGGGAGTCCAATTAAATTATTTTGCGGTGCAGAGTGAGCATCTAAGCTGAGTTTCCTCAGCATGGGTCAGAAGGCCGAAGCCCTCTGATCTTCTGAGTCAGTCCTGCTATTTTATGTCCCTGGGGCTTGTCATTCTTTTCATCTTGCTTCTGTTGCTTAGAAACCCTGCTCATTTTCAGTCCTTTCTGAGTCCTTTTCTGATATTTCTGTCCTGACATTTCTGTGTTCTTTTAATCTGCTCATTCTCTATTCTACACAACCTTTTTTTTACTCAGACTGTTTCTTTTTTTTTTGTTAAATCTAATATTTAGTATTTGATTTCAAGTTATTTATTTATATGTTTTGTTTCAATACAGACAGAACATTATTTCTAAGGTTAGTCTTACTCAGTCCTTCCTATCAATTTCCAATCTGTATTTCCACAACAAATTTCTATATTGAATTTTATATCTGGGTATGTACCAGTAAAACTCACAAAAATCTCAAATTCAACATTTCTAGAGCAACTGCATCTTATTTCAACCTGTGTGAAATAGTAAGAACATTATACCATCTAGCTTTGTTTGTATGAGCTATTGTTTCCAAAAAACAAAAAATGTTTGAAGAGTTTACTCTTTTAGGGCAATAAATATTTCCACTTAGTATTGTATTTTCCATTAGTACTGTAAACAGGTTTTAAAAATCAGACATAAATTGAATTGTCTCTTATAGCACATATGAAATGTATTCCTTAATTATAACTTGTAGCTTTTATCTATAAAAGGTCACATAAATGGTCTAAGGATTAATGGTATATATTGTAATGTTTTTACTTCTGTTAAAGGTGAAGCATCTTGTTAAAGACAAAACAACTAGAAATGCTGAACACTCACATCTGAAAACATCAAGGCTCCAAGACTTTGACTCTCCCTTTCCCATTGTGACAGTTGCCAAATGTTTGATGTTACCTGAGGGCTAAGAGGCCAAGCAGAGTTTTGGAGAATCTTGTGGGGCTTTGACAACATAAATAGATTTCAGTTTTTACCAAGCAGGAGAGGCCCTGAATATTGAAGCACAGATACCTAGAGGGAAAACGTGAAAATAAATATGAATGTTGACTATACTGAGCAAAATTTATACAACATGTAAAACATGCGAAAAAAAATTTTTTGGTACGTGCTTACAGTGCATGATGTTTACATTTTTGTGTGGAATTGATATGTGTTCATAACACATTTTTTCATCTCCTTTTTCCTACAAGTTATAATTAAGAAATATATTTCATATGTACTAATAAGAGATAATTCTTATGTCTGATTTTTAAAATGTTTATAGTACTAATGGAGTATGCAGTATTAAGTATCATTCAATTCTTTCAAGTTTTCAAATTGAATGGCATAAGATTGTCTTACAGTATTCTCTCACTATCTTTCTATCTTTTCAATGTCTGGAAAAATTTTAGTGATGTCCTCTATGTTTGTTTTCCATACTGATAATCTGTTCCCACACCATCCTGCTGCCTTTTCGCTCTCTGTCTTGTTTTTCAGCCTTTCTAGAGATTATTCATATTGTTAGTCTTTTAAAGGAAGCAAGCTTTGGATTTTCCGTTGTATGTCTTTTTTCATCACTTTTTTTCTACCCCTTTATTGTTTCCTTCTATGCTCTTTAACTTGCTGTGCCTTTTCTAAATTCTTAAAAGTGAAAGCTTGGATCATAATTGTGAGTCTTTTTTGTTTTCTTACGTGTGCATTTAAGAATAACGGTCCTCATTATTAATTGGGGATATTTGATTTCTTTAAATACAATGTAATGTGATTACTTACCTGAGTTTAACTCTACCATCTTTTACTATATTGCTTTTTCTGTTTATCTAGTATGTTATGTTTCTGGGTGAAAAGAAAAACACTTCTATTTACTTATAAAACATCTTAAATTTAAGGACACATAGAGTTTGAAACTTTAAAAATGAAGAAAAATTATAAACTCTAACTGAAGAAGAGCTTGTGTATCCATGCTAATGTAAGATAAAGTTAAATTTAAGGAAGAAGCATTAGAGCTGAAGAGGGTACTATGATTTGACTATGTCCGCCAGTATTTATGTGTTGGAAAATTAGCCCCTGGGGTGGCAGTGTTGGGACAGGAAGCAGAGCGGGAAGTGATTGGATTATGGAGAAATGGATTATTGTCTTTTTGTGTGAATGAGTTCTTGCTCTCATGGTACTATACTCTTATTACTGCAAGAGTGGGCTGCTATAAAGCAAGTCCATTACTTGTATTTTCTCTCCTCTGCGAGTGAATGTGTACAGAACAAATTCATGTATCTGTATGTATGTGGGATCCTTCCCAAAATGGATACAAATAGAAATGTAAAATCAAAATAGTCCCATATGTATTAAAAATAAATTCATAATGAAATGCAATATTCTGTCACTAGGAAAGTATGGGCCCAGATTGCATCACTGGTGACTTATGTTGAAGAAGAATAACTAACTGTATGTGTGTGTGTGTAGATATATATAATTTCAGAAAGAATATCTTCTACCATATTTCATGAAACTAGTAAAATCTAATAAGGTTATAGAGTCAAAATCCTAAATAATATTGATTTGATTTGATTTCAGCTATATAGTAAAAGAATACTTTTACTATAACACAACAGTTATATTTATTTTAAATTTGACTTATACAAAGTTGGTTTAATATTTATGTATTTTTTACAATATCAACAGGTTGTGTTTGTGTACTAGGGGTATTAATGTACTAGTGTGCAATATTAAAGTATGCTGTAGCATGCCACAGAGTGGGATGCTTAAACAACAAAAATTTATTTTCTCACAGTACAAGAGGCCAGAAATACTTTGTCAGGGTGTTAGCAAGTTTGGTTTCTTCTGAGATCTCTCTCCTTGGCTTATAGATGTCTGATATCTCCCTCTCTGCCTTTGCTTTTGACTTTTCCTCTGCACTAACACCTCCCTTGTGTCTCTCTTTCATCTTATAAGAATACCAGTCAAATTGGATTAGGGCCTTACCCATTTGACCTCATTTAACCTTAATTATATCTTTAAAGGCTCCGTTTCCAAATACGGTCATTAGGGTATAGGTCCTCCTCCATATGAGGAGGGACACAGTTCAATCTGTAAACCAGATTAAAAGAGAAAAATCATGACGATCATCTTAGTATACAAAATCATTTCATAAAATTTAACATTCCATTTATGAAAACCATTCTTAGTGTACAGAGCTAGAAAAACTTAGTTCAATAAAGAATATCTACAGAAACTAAGAATTTGATATCATACTTAATTGTGAAATATTGAAAATTTCCCATGATGTTAGGAATTAAACTATGCCTACTATTGCCACTTTTATTCAACATCATAATAGAGATCATAGCTAATACAGTAAAGCAAGAAAAACAAATAACTTTTATGGGTTGGAAAGGAAGAAATAAAACTATATTTAAAATGACTGTAAAACAAACAATTCTGAATAATTTTCAGATAAGTTATTTACATTAATAAATGAATTATAGCTTAGGAACAGATTCATAGTAATATTTCAAAGTAAATATATTTCTATAACATTTACAGTGATCTCAAAAGCTTAACTAAATAGGACTAAATCTAACCAAACATACAAAACATATATGATGATTATAGTGGGACATTAAGTAAGCCTTAAATAAATAAGAAATATATCATGTGTATATGAGAAGACTCAATGTTGTGAATATATAATTTACCCAAAATTGTCTTATACATTCAAAGCAATCTTTTATCAAATTCCTTTAAGGTGTGTATGTGTGTGTGTGCGTGTGTGTGTGTGTGTACTGACAAACTGACTTTACAACAAATTACTACAGGACCTACCTAGAATACAGAAATAGTTCTCAAGTTCGCAAATTTGTTGTTTGTTTGTTTTTGTCTTTTTCTTTTTTATCGGTACCGGGGATCGAACTCGCGACTGCCTGCTTGCAAGGCAGGCGCTTATGCCGCTGAGTCAAGTGCAAATTTGAAAGGCTTGCACATAGTAAGCTGTATAGTATTATTACAAAGATAGACAAGTAGTACAAAATAATAGTCTGTACCCCAACTTGCACAGCTGTTTTTATAACAAAAGTGCCATTGGGGATCCAGAGGTTAAGCATCATGAACTTTATATCAGTGATATTTGTTAATATTCATATGAAAAATAATAAATATTAATTTCTGCTTCCTAACCAAAAAAAAAATCTTCAGATGGATTTAAAAAGTTAAAACATACAACAAAAGTGTTAGCAGATAACTGTGGAAAATATAAGCATGGTAAAGGGGCAGCAGATTTCCTGAGTGTGATAATCATAATCCGTAACCCAGTTGATCAATTAAAGAGTGTTAAAATTACTGTTTTAGTTAAATTGAAATGTAATCTTAAAAGGATGAAATGATAAGCTGTAAAATATATGAAATGTTTGCTCTAGATATATCAAAGGAGTTTTATTCAAAATAACTGTCAATAAGATGACTGACACTTCAGTAAAGAAAAAGATCAAAAGAGGTTCTCCAAAATAGGCCGTGAAGCACATAGGAAGGTTTTAATGATTATTAGTCATTAGGTAAACACATATTAAAGCACAATGCTACAGGGCCTGGTTTGGCAAACTTTTTAAAGGGCCATAAATAAATATGTCTGACTTTTGACCATATAGTCTTTGTTGCAACTGTTTGGCTTTGATGTTATAGGGCACAAGCAAGTACATTTAGACAACACAGGCAGTGAAGATGTCAGCACCACCCAAATTAATCTGTAGACTGATCCTTATCAAAATCCATTTTCTACTTTTTTCAGAAATTGAAAAATCCATTTTAAAATTCATATACTTTTAAGGAATTCTGAATAACCAACATAGTATTGAAAGGGAATCAGGTTGGAAGTCTCATACTCCTTGATGTCAAAACTCCTAAAAAGGCTGTAATGATCAAAACAGAGTAGTGCTAGCATAAAGGTAGAAATATACACTATTGGAATAAAATAGAAAATCCTCAAATAAATCCTAGTATATATGGTCAAGTAATATTCAACAACCATATCAAGGTAGTTCAGTGAGTGAGAGGAGATCTTTTTCTTTCCTAACAAATAGCACTAGGAAGACTGGATATCGATGGGCAAAAGAGTGAGTTAGAGGCTTACCTTCTATCAGATTTAAAGTTAAGGTGGATCAATGACCTTGTCTTAGTTACTTTTACTACTGAGGCAAAGTATCTGAAACCCAGAATTCAAGGAGGAAAGGTTTATTGTACCTCACAGTTTGCAGAGGTTTCAGCTCATAGACTGTTGGCGCTAAAGCAGGGGAGCATGGCAGAGGGGCATCTCAGAACCAGCAGGCAGAGGGCAGCAAGCAATAAGCAGAGAGCAGCAGCAGCCCTCTTTCTTTCAGCACATTAGAAGAGCAGTTAGCAGGGAACAGGATAGGGAAATGGTGAGTTACATTTTAATGGGTTAGAATTTCAGTTTTGCAAGATGAAAAAATAGGGCAGTTGGCCATACATAATGTAAATATGCTTCACACTAGTTAACTGAACCCTTGTGTGGTTAAGATGTTAAATTTTGTTATGGCGTTTTAACCACAATTTTTAAACAAGGCAATAAGCCAGATTTGGCCTGCTCTTTGTCAGTCTCTGCTATAAATACTGTTACACACATACAAACACAAAACAAAACAAAACACTGACTGTGCCAAATGGTGATGAGGTTCTTGAAAATCTGTTACTCTAATAGCTGTCAGGGTAAGTGAAATTAATACTGTCCTTGTATAAATGTGACAGTATTGATCAAACCTGAACATACTCCTACCCTGTGACCACTCCTAAGGATGTCCTTAGGAAATGTCTGTGTATGTAAAAAGGCTTACTACAGTATCATTTATAAAAGTCAGCAGCCTAAATAACCAAAAATTTAATCAAGAGTAACATGGATAAACTGTTTACAGGTTTATAAAATGGAATAATACAGTAATAAAAATATACCACTGCTATAATGCAACAACAGAGATTAACCATACAAATGTAAAAATTAGACTCAAAGTATATGCTAGATAGTGCCAATTAAGTTCAAAGAATAAATGACATTAATCTTCTATAATATCACTTCTTAAAAGTATAATCTAGAGACCTGTAGAAGTTCCCAAGGACACAGCTAGGAAATCTGCTAGGTCACAACTATTTTTCACAGTAGTATTAAGATTTTTTTGGTGGATTTCTTTTTCAGTGATGTCATTATGAATGCATAACAGATCTGAGAAGTCAGACACATTTTCTTAAACCAGGTATTACATCGCCACCAATTTTTTTTCTTGGAAGACAATTAGGGCATGTTATTTGTGATAAGATGTAAAAAGATTTAGTAATTTTTAAAGGAATAAATGTATTTTTGCAATTTCTCATTTTTTTATTTTATGAAAAACTAAAAATTTCATAATAAAATGATAGTTTGTATACTTTATATCTTTATCTTTAGAGTAGTTACTCAGAGTACAAGACATAAACCAAAAGATTCTTAAAAAAAAGAAACAGATAAAACTTCCTAGTAGGATAAATAATCCATATGAACAAAAGCCCTCTCAAATTTTAATAACTTTTAAGAGTATCAGAAAGGCCCGAGACAAGAGTTTGAGAAACACTTTTAGAAGACAGGATAGCTGACTTTAAAATGGATTTAAATTGACTTTACACAATGTTGGAAATATTATTTAAAAACTCTTAACCAGGGCAAATAGATATGCTTACTTTATTAAGTGTTTAAAGGCTGTATACTTGGGAAATTTGTGTTTCATACTAACTATATAACCTATATATGCTGTGTAAAGAAATGTTTGAAAATTACCCTTTGATATTCTTCCCCATCACATGACACCAGAAATTCATTGTGTTTCCATGAGAATCCTGAACTGACTGGATGTCATCAATTTTATATCATCAACATGTCATATGACATCATCTGTGTTTATATTATCAGGTATCAAGTTGGTTCACTGTCTGTAATCATCAGATGTATATTGTTTTATTTCATGCTACATGCACTAAAAATTAGAATATCCTATTAATTTTTTCCTGGCATTATGTTTGTCACCCTTGTAGAAAGAATCCCGTCCATTTTCAGCACTTTAGCCACCCTGGTGACAGTGATTATGGAGCTGTGCCTGTCACAGATCGAGAGGAGACTGACCAGAGACCTGAATGTCCCTATGGAGCATCTTGTTATAGGTATGGAAATTGAAATACTTGCCTGGACTATCTTTTTCCCTAAGCTGTCTTACTTGTTCAGGAGCACGTATGATCTGCTGCTTAACTCAAACCTTTAGTGTGGTTTTTAGACTTTCATATATTTTTTTTGTCTTTTTCCTTTTTATCGGTACCAGGGATCGAACTCACGACTGCCTGCTTGCAAGGCAGGCGCTTATGCCGCTGAGCTAAATCCCCAGCCCCTAGACTTTCATATATTGAAAATTTGTATTTTGCTAGTAGGTAGGATTATGGTTCTTTATATAATTCTAAATTGTCAAAATTATTAATCTTGCAAGTACTCAATATTTTTCTTTATTACTAACTTCCTAACGTGAGAAAATCAGATAATTTCAAAGCTTCTGATGCTAACCCCATATAAACTCTACAGAGGTTCCTAAGTATGATACATAAATCCATTCCACATGCTCTCCCTGTCGACCTCTACTTTCACTTTTCCTACTACTCCACCATTTTATAACACTAAGTTACAAAAGCAGAGTAAGATCACGTCTCCTCATGCTTCCAGAGCATATTGGCTTCTTCGGTATCATACACAAAGTAAAACTCATTTCTTGAGATGGTGTTAATTTCTTTACCAGAATTTCTCCCTATTCAGGGATCAAGTATTTTGAAAGCAAGATGATGTATCCTTGGAATCTTGCAGTTTTGTTTACTGTTTTGGAGACATTAGTTGGAGCAAAAGAAATAAGTAAAAGGAATAAAGATAGTAAAGGGAGAAGTTAAATTGCCATTATTTGCAGGCGACATCATTCTCTACGCAGAAGACCCAAAATCTCCACCAAAAGACTTCTATATTTAATAACCAACTTCAGTCACACAGCAGGATATAGTCAACATTCAAAAATCAATAGTCTTCCTGTACACAAATAGCAAACTCAGAGAAACAAAGGAAACCACACCTTTTACAATAGCATTGAAATACTTAAGAATCAATTTAACCAAGAAAGTAAAAACAAATGAATGCATGAAATTGAATTGAACCAAACTAAAAAAGAAAGAAGTAGCGATCCCACGTTAGAGAGTATTAAGGCCAGACAGCCTTCTTTTTTAGGTAATTTTGAATACAGGTTAGTGAATCTGCTGACTATCCTAAAGTTGTTGATATGTCAATGATTATGGTTTTCAGTAAGACAGCAAAATAATATGAGATTGAAAAGAAAAATTAAAAGGCTTGCAACTTCTCATTTGAAAAATAAATATTTTATTCCAGAAAAAGAGAGCATTCTGCAGATAAGAGGATATTATGATCAACTTGTCCAGTAATCTTGAAAGTTTTAAAAAATGTGTCCTAGAAAAGTGTGTCCAAAAAAATACAAATTTAAGAAACAGATATAAGAAAGATAGAAAATGAAAAGTCCTGTATCATTACAGAAATTTAATAATTAAAAGCTCTCCAAAAAATTATAGATCTATTTGATTTTACTGGCAAATTCTACCAAATGTACGAAGAAACTCAAGCTTTACATGAACTATTCCAAAGGAGGTGAAAGAGAATATATTCAGCAGCTCACTTATGAGTTGATACCAAAATCAATCAAGAATAAAATAAGGATGAAAAAGTACAAAACAAGCTTAGTTTTGAATATAGTTAAATACATCCTGAGAAAAGACTAAGTATGAATCAAACAATAAATACAAAGGGACACATAATTTGACCAAATGGAGTTTATCTTAGGAATGCATGTTTTATTTTATATTAAAATTTATCATGTCATCAGAATAAATATAAAAGTTACAATAGCCATTAGGTGGCTGGAAAAAGCTGATAAAATCAGCATTAAATTATGATAAAAATTTACTACAAAATAGGATTGGAAGAGGATGTCTTTAGTATAAAGGGTATCTATCAAAAACTTAGAGCAAATAAAAAATTTTAATTTTTTTTTCTAAAATCAGAAATGGGACAATAATGCTTTTTATTACTAGTAATTCAGTTTTTTAATATAATGGAGATTCAAAGCACTATGGTAAGATAAAAAAGGAGAACAGATAAAGATTGAAGAAATAAACAAATGATCACAAATGGCATTATTGGATACCTAAGAAATACAAAGTAGCCTACTGATGAGTTATAAATTTAATAAGTGCTTAGCAAGGTTTCTGAGTACAAAAATCAATATACAAAATCGATTGTATTTCCATACTTCAGTGCCAACCAATTAGAAAATAAAACTTGTAAAGATAATATTTATAACAACATCAAAGTTTCAAGTTATTAGGCATAAATATAAAAAGCATGAAAACCCTTCTGGACAAAACTTAGAGAAAATTTTTTGAGAAAGACCTATTATAAAGGTGGAAATGTTCATGATTCAACAAATCAGTATTGTTAAAATTGTTCATGTGTGCAGACGCATTCAAAATCATAATACTTTTTGTGTAGAGATCTATAGTGTGATTCTAAAATTAATATAGAACTATAGAAGACTGGGAATAGTCATATAGCCTTAAATAATAAAGAGCAGGTGGCACAACTTATTATACCGTATCGTAATAAAAGCAATGTGGCGTGGACAAAAAGATAAAAATACCAAAACTGAATAGATCCAGAGACAGACAAGATGGTAGGGCTTTCAAGATAAATAAAAAGGGACTGGTTCATGGATCCTAGAATAGGGATTATTTCCTAAAACAAGATAGAGAATACAGTGATTGAAGTAGGAACATTTAATTATTTGACTATATCAAATAAAGATGTTTTTATCTACCAGTAGACAATATTAAGACAATGAAAAGCCACAGAATGAGATTAATAATTGCAACTCACATTTCTGACAGGAGAGTATGCATGTCCAGAAACACAAAAAGATACCTCCAATTGTCATTGCTTTTGAGTAAAAAGCTTTTTCTTCTAAAGAAAATCCAAATGGTGAACAATGAAAAAATACACTATGATTAATAATCAGAGAAGTCACACACATACACACTTGCTGCCTTGAAATAACTGTCTTTTTTCTCATTCATTTCTTTAAAACTATTTTTCAAAGACTTGTAAGTACTGATAAAACAGTGTGAGATGTATTTGTAGAACAAACATGTCTTATATATTTATATTTTTGGAATACCACATTTTTTCACTACTCATGTCATAATTTTTTGTATTTTAAAGCAATCTTTATTTTGGTCTAACCCAATACTTTTTCGTATTTCCATTATACTATCATTTACAGCTCTCACTGCTCCTTTTCTCAATTTATTATGAATAATTTGTGTTTTTGAAAAACTTTTCAATAGGCCTAAATTACTTTTACCTGTTTTTATTTCGTTTAAATTGTTTTATTTCTCATTTTAAAGGGGATAAAACCAAGGAAAATAAAACAGAATAAAACCAATTAAAACAAAGCAGTGTAAGTGATACAGGACTTCCAAACAGTGCCTCTTGTCTTAAAAATAGCTGCAGATATCTTCAGGCATAGTGACAATCCAACAGAACAGAACAGAATAGAACCAATAAAAAAAAAACAATGAATGTATGAAAGGACTTCAAAACAAGACAACAGTAAATCCAAAGTGACTACCATGATATATCTTGCTATCTTTGAAATAATTGTTTATGCCCTTGGATATAACAAAATCAAACAAAATAAAACAACAAAACCCAGCCCCCCAAAACAATGAATGATACAGGACTTCAAAACAAGATAATAGGGAATTAACAATGGCTACCACCTTCAGAAGGAGATCCCCCTCTCCCCCCAGATGCCACACTGTGTACTGCTGGTTCTTTGAATAAAGGATCAGACCACTGGCCCTGGACCTGCAAGGTCAGTGGAACACCAAAACTCTACAAGCATCAAATTGCATTTCATCTCAGTAGCTCTCATGACAGCCTGTTTCTCTGGACCAGCCGGAAGGGATTGGCCCTTCTTATTTGCCCACCCCATGCGCTGGAAGGGACTGGGATCTGCTGTACCCTACCCCCTATTTACGTGAACTATTACTTATTATTACTGATTAATGATTAAATTCTATGTCTACATAACACATAGATATGTGATATATAACAATATATCATTTCCCTTTAGTCTTAAAAAATTCTACATGTATTTTTTGTAGTAGAGATCTTCTAGAAAGTAATTCTTTTAGTTCCTGTGTCTAATGACTTTCTTAATTCTTTTGTTTTGAAGGTTCTTTTCACAGTTATATAGAATTCTAGTTAAGCGGATATCTTGCTTTACCTCTGTCATTCCATTGACTTACAGCCATAGTTTCAGTTGAAAATTAGTTGTCTCTTTCATTGTTGCTCTTTTGAACTATACATCTCTTTCTTTGGACATTTTAAACATTTTATGTTTACCTTTAATTTTCAACAGTTTAGCAAAGGCCTCTGGTATATTCTTGTTTATATTCATCCTGTTTGAGATTCACAGAGCTTTTTTGCACATTGATATGTTTCATTACTTTGGGGAGACTGCGTGGCTATTACTGTATCAGATGTTGATTCCATCCCATTTTTTTCTCTTTTTTGAAATCTAATTAAGCATACATTAAAACTTTGACCATATCTCGAATGTCTCCTTTTACATTGTTTTGTTCTTTCTTCTTCTGCTTTCTCTTTTCTTTTTCCCTTTGTCCTCCTCCCCTCCTCCAACTCGTTCTCCTCTAATCTGAAAAGGATTTGCTTCAAATTTGACTTTGTCTCTGAATTTATTAATCTGATTTCCTCTTTTGTCTAGTCTGCTGTTAAACTGACTTAAAGAGCTCTTAATTTTAGAAGCTGCATTATCTAGCTCAATGATATTCACCCATTTTTTTCTTTTTCTATATATTCTAATTTTTGGCGAAATTATCCAACTTTTCATTCATTACCTCTACTGTTTTACTTCTTTAATATGTTCTTTTAATTATTGTTCTTAACTATTTTCAGGTTTGTATTTGCTAGTTAACATTTCTGGTTCTGCTGCTTTTCTTTTCTTGATTGTTGATTACATTGTTTTATCTCTTCATATCTAGTAACA